TTTCTTTGTAGTCTTAAAGTACATCTAATGATAAACCAAGGACCAAAATAATCTCATTCTTTCCAGGCCCCTGGTATGACTGGCACACAGGTATTATGCTGCTGAATGCCTGTTTACCCCTTTTGGAAAATAAACTAGCTAAGTACAGCCAGAGCCTGGCCCTGGTGCTGTGGGCCATGTCATGTGCACTCATAATCTAGAATAGCATCCGCAAGGTGAAGGCTCACTGACTTTCTGTTTCGTCTAGAGTGGCTTGAATTTGTAGAGAAATAATGCACTTGTGAATGCCTTCGTTCCTTTTGAAGCTCAGGGGCTATTTAGAAAAACCAAGCAAGCTGAGCATGGTGGTGCACACCTATAATCCCAACACTCAGAAGGCTGAGGCAGGAGGATTACCAAGAGTTTGAGACCAGCCTAGACCACTTAATAAGTTCAAGGTCAGCGTGAACTACATGGTGATAACTCTTACCAAAAAAGAAAAATCAAGTAAGTGTTGCCTACTGTTAGGCAGTTCAGCACCTGATATCTGTCTGTCGGAGTATGACTGTCTTGCATTTTCATTAAAAATTGCAAATTTAAAAGAGATTAATACAGTTACTGGACTATAAAGGTCCCTAATACTGTACAGAATAAAAATTTTATGGAAGTTCAGATTTTACAATGAGCATTTCCAGTTGGTAGAAGACATTGTGTACATACGTGTTCAGGCACCTTGGTGATGAGCACAGTGATGGGGTTGAATGTCCTAGACACAGGTCACCCTGGACAGCTACTAGTCAGCCCTATAAGACCTTAAACTTTTGCCATCACATTTTGATTTTTAGTGCTGTTTTGCTTGACTCAGCTGTATGGTGCTAGAGCACAGGCTGCACAGATGTCAGTGCGATGCTGTGCAGGAGGGTGCAGTGCCGAGCTGACTGTGCGTCCTGCACCTACTGCACACGTCATCCAAGTGAGACGTGGGTTATCAGGTGTTACATGCGCAAGCGCAGCTCGGGGAGTAAAATGCAGTGTTAGTGATAATAGTATTTCAGCCTGAAATACTGAAGAAAGCTGTTTATTGTTATTAAGTAGACAGGTAAGTTTTCTTATTTAACCGTTAAACTCAGGTTTCTTATGTTATTTCATTTTAATATTATAATAAAAATATCTAAGAGTATAGGAAGTTTTGTTACTCATATACATTAGCTATATTGTATATAGTGGACCCCTGAAATTTGCAGAGGTTATGTTTCTAGAGCACCTGTGAGTGTGAAAAAACTGTGAATTTCAAATATGGCCAGAAAAATGCCTATAAATGCCTGTTTTTTATAGTTTAAACCCTAAATATGCTATGTCTCTGCAGTTATGTATTTTAATTTAATAAAATACTGTATTAACAAAGCCTTAGAAGGTACAGGGTATTTTGGCCACATCTTAGGAATCTCAGGGCTTTAAAAGAAGAACAGAACTGAGAACACTCAGGACGGCTACACAAGTATAGCAACCTGTTAAGATGCAGGAATGCTGGTGTGTCTGCAGGAGGTGTGTTAGAGGGCAGCATCCAGTCTGCAGCACGGAGAACTGAATAATGCTCTCATTTGGCTACTTGCAAACCTCCTGCCCCAAAAAATAATTGTGGAGGATGTTTGCAGTTTCTGCAAACAATTTTTAGGTAGGTTCTAAGGGAAAATCTACAAATGACTGAGGCCGCAAACTCTGAATTGTGACTTCTAGGGGGTGTACTGCATTTTATATGTGGCCCAAAACAGTTCATCTGCAGTCAGTGTGGCCCAAGCAAGCCAAAATGTTGGACATACATACTGGACAATGCAGGAAGGGGGTGTAGGGCTACATGCTTTGTATCTATACATGTGTATTTACATGTGTGGCATGTGCATTTGATTATTGCATGTATTCAGATAAACACATATGTACTTAACGGCAAACTTTTTTATATCATTTTTCCTTGTCTGATCTGATGGCTTTCAAAGCTGTCAACTTGTGCCAAAGTAGTTTTTAGATAGTGGCCTCCAAGGTGGCATAGCTTGTCTCTAGAGACTGAAGTGCTCTCTAGACTCTGTGGAAAGGGTCAGCTCACTTGGAGAAACTTGCTCTTGGGAAGACAGAGACCTTCCTATGGGACTTACCTCTTTTTACTATCACACACAGGTGGCTGATGGCAGTTTTATTTCTTCCAAATTCAGCATTCATTCTGAAGAACAAACTTGGTGCAAGGAGTGCCTGACTTAGCAGATGCCCTGCCCTGGCAGAGGCAGCTTGGACTCTTCAGCCTTTCCCTTCTCCGGTCTAGGGCTCTGATCAGTTGTGCAGGGAAGACAGACATAGGGACCCCTAAGCCACATAAGAGGGAGACCAGGTAAATTACAGGTACACTTGATAGGTGAAAATGAGCTACATCAGAAGCACGGAAGCTTGGCCCCCATTGAGACCTCTTGGGGCAGTTGCGGTGACCGTCCTCTTTCTGCTATGAAGTGAGTGGGAAAGTACTTCCCATGAGTGTGCCGGTACGCAGGAGGAAGGAGGTGCACTGCTTCCTTAGAGTCAGGAAGGCTGCTTCATGCTTGCCTCCTGTCACAGCTGGCAAGGACCCTGCTGTCTCAGATGGATGGTGCCAGCTGACATCTCCCTCCTCCCAGCCACCTGTCTTCAGAGCAGCCTGTGACCCTTGCTGGCTTAGCCTCTCCCAGCTGAGGAACAAAGGCCCCCTCCATCCCTGGGTACCATTCAAGGTCTTACAGTCTGGCCCCTTGGCCCAGTGTGTCACTGGGTGTGCACCCTGCCCAGCATCTAGCCAGCCTGTACCACTCTTGTGGAAGGGCTCAAGCACTGCAGCAAAGGGGATCTTTGAGTTAGCTCTCCTGAAGCTTTCATAATAATGCTCTGTACAGAGACCTCAAATGCATTTGCATGAGCATCATTGAAGTGCTTATTACGTGTTGGACTGTGTCTTTTCTCTGCAAGGACATTGAGTCTATTGGGCTTTTGCTGTATGTGTGTAGTACTTAACTAGAGCCAGGTAACAGATCACCCAGCAGACACTCATTCCACACACTGTCTGCGGATCAAGAGTCGATATAGCTGCATGGAGTGGTTCCGGCCCAGGGCCCTCTGGTGGGCACAGTTCTGCTTTCGGCTGACCTATGCCCCTCTGAGACTGGACAGTAAAGATCCACTTCTGAGCTAACCTGTGGGTCCTGCAGCTCAGTTTCCCTCCGGCTGCTGGTGCCAAGGCCTCAGTCTGTGTCTACCACCTAGACTTGCTGTTAGCTCCTCACTTCAGGACCACCACCTCCTCAGAGCAAATGACCCTGGAAAGGGAGGCCAGGGCAGAAGCAGCAGCACTCCTTCCACATCATGGTGGCTGCACATCTCAACCCCTGTATGCATGGGCAGCGGCCTCGGAACTGTGAGGACTGGGAATGCTGTGGCCACATCTGCTCTGACTGGGATTTTAATAGACGTGATGGACATGAATTGAATAAAGCCATTAGAAAGAGAATCTGAGATCTGAGCAACACAATTACATTCAATGGTTTTGCTTTTATTATTCTTTATGTTCCTGGAGATAGAACCTAGGCCTTTACACCGAGCTACATCCCCAGCTATCGAGAGCCCTTCCCAGTCCTCATCGCGGCCCAAGAAGTTTATATTTGTAATTCCATGAAAAGTTACTAGAATTCTAGTGAGTTAATTCCAGTCTACCACTTCTAGTGCAACCCATGGCAAGAATAAAGACACTAAGGCATATTTGTACTTATGGGGAGCCAAAGGGTCCTAAGTCCAGCCACGATGATGGCCATCCGGAACAAAGGCCTATACCCAGAGCCAAACCCAGGTTTTATTAATTCATGAAGAAAGGAGTGGCTTGAGGGTGAGTGACTGTGAGAATTGCAGGAAATAGGTAAGTGCCATGAGCTGGGCTAGGTAGGAAGCCTGAAATCACCTCTGCAAATGCAGAGAGGATGTGCAGAAAGAGTAATCTGCATAACACATTAGCTATGTGAGATAGTATCTAATGTTTTGGGGTCCATGCTTCTGCTCTGATGTGTAATCTTTGAAGCCCCAGGAAGTCACAGCCTCTGTCTTCATCCCATCTTGACCTGGCTCACACAAGGGAACGATGGGTGGGGGTCTGAGGAAACCTGCCTGCTGTCTTCAAAGATTGTGCATGCTTAAAGCCAATTGAAGGGTTAAGAAAATGTCCTAGCCAGCTCTGTATATGTCAGTACATGGAAATAAGGTCAGGCTCAGCCAAGATGGAGGAAATTGCTCCTCTTTCAAGGTTAGTTGCCCAGGTGGTCCTCCATACCCAGCCCCATGTATGTATGTATGTATGTATGTATGTATGTATGTATTTGAGACAATGTCTCAATAAGTTCCCCAGGTAAGACTCCAACTTGCTTTTTTCTTGTACTAGCCTCCCAGAGTACTGGGATTACAGGTGTGTACCACTATGCCCAGATGTTTTTTCTTTTGATAAGACTTCTTTTAATTTTCAATTCTTCCCACCAACCCTCATACCTCGGAGTGTGGAATACACAGGGATCTACCTGAGTGGTTATGTCCTCTCTAGCAGACAGCCAGGGAATATCCCACAATTGAAAAACAAAAGGAGTGTGTGTGTGTGTGTATGTGCACGCACATGCAAGGGCTCTCAGCCTTGCTGTCTCATTTCTTTCAAACCTGAGGTATTTGGGTGCCATTTATTTTCTGAGGGTGCATAAATCCAAAGATGATTATTATAAGAACCACTCTGGGGGAATAAAATTTTTGAGAAAAGCTCAGGGGTCCAGGAAGTTGAATGTTCAGCGGGCTTCAGGGGAGCCTGCTACATGAGTCTGTAGGCATGTAGCATGTGCAGTGGTGAGGACAATCTCTGTCCTCAGAGGACAGCCCACCCACCTGCCACACTGTTAGTTGGTGGATGACTGGGGTGAGACCCTGGGCCTGTTATCAGTGTGGCTTTGATGTCCCAGTGAGTATCTTTGCCATCCTAGGCATGTTCCAGCAGTGACCCAAGGCAGAGAGTATGTATCATCGATGAGATCGGGAAGATGGAGCTCTTCAGCCAGCCGTTCATCCAGGCTGTTCGCCAGACACTGTCCTCGCCAGGGACTGTGGTCCTCGGAACAATCCCACTCCCCAAAGGGAAACCACTGACCCTCGTGGAGGAGATCAGGAACAGGCACGACGTGAAAGTGTTCAGTGTGAGTAAGCCAGTCTCCCCCACCCGGTCTGTGCGCGGGCGCAGGTACGCTCACATGCACCTTTGCCTCTGTGTCTGCAGGTGCCGGGCGCTAAGCAAGTGTGATTGTCTGAGTTTTCCAGAACTTAGATCATACCTCTCTCTGATGACAGAACAGACTGTGGGGAGTACCAAGTGTCTTCTCTGCGTCCTGCTCTCTTCCTTTCGCCAACGCTGCTGGGCACCACACCCCTCCGGTGTCAGAATTGCTCCTGCAGCTGATCTCACATCCGCAGTTCAGGGTGGGAGTCAGAGGCTAACAAGTGTGGCTACTTCTGTTTAAGTTAGCTACACTTAAATAGGATTTAAAACAGTTTCTCAGCCACACTAGCACAGGCCGTGGCAGTGTTTGGCAGCATAGCTTTGGTGTCTTGTCACTCACAGTGAGGCCTGCGGTGGCCCATGTGGGGTCCTCTGAAGCCAGTGAGATGTGCACACCTATAGGCCCGACCCTGATCGCAGAACTGAGCTGCCTGGGGGTCAGGCTGAGCCACTGTGCTCGGACCCCTCTCTGTGGGCCCCAGTCTGCTGCAGTTTGAGAAGTAGGGCTGCGGCCCCGCGGGTACTCGGAGCAGCGTGTTAAAGGCACAGTGTCAGAGGGCTGCAGGAACCACTGTGGCGTGCCTGGTGCCTTGCCTCAGTCTTGTTGCTCTGCTCTTCGCGTGTCTGTCCCTCTGCCCCAGTGCTTTTCTTTCCTGTGTCCGTCAGCACTGCTGGCCTAGTGCTGCCCACCCGCTCACTCCAACCCTCAACACTTCTGGCCCTGCAAGGCGGGCGAGGCCCTCCTAACTGGGAAAGTGCAGAGTGGGTACCTACGTCACTGGTGACCTGCCACCTGGCACACTGGCCCTAGTGGGACATCCGCAGTGTTCTGGGGGTGGCAGTGAATGACTGCCAGGGTTAGACCAGCCAGACCTGGACAAATGTGTCTATCCTTCCTTCATCTATTGGCTTATTCACTTGATAGACCTTGATTGAACACCTGCTGTATCCCAGGCATTGCTCCAAATTTGGGTGACACCGATGATAATACTGACCAAGGCCCTCCGTTGTGCAGCATACATTCTAGGGATTCTGGGGAGCTGGGTGCCATAAGTGACAAAGTAAGCCATTTCAGGTCCTGATAATGGCAAAGAAAAGAAGCCAGGCAGTGTGTTGTTTGGGGCAGGACGGAGGGGCAATCAGGGAAGGGCAGTGCAGGGAGAAGACATTTGAGTGGAGATCTGAGAGCCTTGAAAGGTCACATCCTGGTGGCCTTGTCTCCGGGGTCTTAGCTGCCTTCCTGCATCTCTCTCCGCAGTTGAGTTTTGGTTGTGATGTAGAGTTACTGTGAAGACAGAGCCAGTGAATAGTGAAAGATAATGAGAGAAAAGGCATTTTGAGGTCAGGTGGCTCCCAGCCCAGGAAACTGCCAGCATTAGGCTCCAGGGATTGGCTGTCTGTGCAAACGCATCCAGTCTCAGTGACCTACGGCAGGTTGAAGGGAGTTGACATTTATGTCCAGAAATAACTGTTGTGTCTTAGATAATACCACGTTTCCTTTTCTGACACACAAGATATTCTCCAGACAAGGAAAGCGTTGCTCCTAATGATCTCTAAAGGAAGTGGTTGGCTCTGAGTTAATCCTATGAGAGGCAGGGCCGCCATGCCCTGCTGTTCTGTGCTGTTACTCCTGGTATGGAACCTCATCCTTATCTGGATTCTGTGTAGTCTTGAGTCCTTTTGATTTCTGATAGGCACTAAGTATCTGAATCTATTTCTGAAAAGGTCTTTTGCAGCCAGCACGTCTCCCTGACACAGACATGTGTGAGGCCTGTTCCTTTCCCTTACAACCTGACTGTGGACAGTGAGATTCTGGGGCAGAGAAGGGAGATGTCTGTGTGAACAGGGAGGGGAGAGGTGTCTGCCGGAAGTCATTTCTGGGTGGGTTCTTACTGGTGGAAGTGGGAGGAGAAGGGGGAATGAGCCGGGGCAGGTGATAAGCTCTGACAGGTGTGGGGTGAACATGGGTCCTGTGAAGGTGGGACTGAGCATCAGCTGTGGGAGGAAGCCCCGACCCCAGAGTCAGGAGCTCTGTCTGGGTGTGTTCTTGATAGTATTTGTGAGCTGAGATCTACTTTTCATAAAAACTCCTGAGAACATTCTGGTTCTAGACAAGGTGCAACTGACTACTTCTGTTTCTCCACTGACTGCAGCCAGCTGCTTTGGAGGAGCAGTCTGGCCTGCGAGGTGGAGAGTGGGCAGGCTGGTTGAGCCTCAGGGCCAAGCGAGGATGTCACAGACAACATTGAAAGTACTTGTCGTACCACAGCCAGAATATCTCACCTTGAATGAGAAAAGACAGCACATCAACAGCGAGAAGACAGGATGTTGGGATTACAGGGCAAGGATTTTAAAACAGCCTCACCAAAATGCCTAATACTAAAAAGGTGTCGCAAAAATGCGTCAATAATCGGTCACAAACATACTTGAAACAAAAAATAGTCTCAGGAAAGATACTAAAAGTTTCAGCAAAAATATAGAAGATAGAGGAAGCAAATGAAAATCTTAGAACTGTAAAGTAGCCAATTTAAAAAGGCAGTCCATGAACTCACCAGCAGACTGGAGGTGACAGAACAAAGAATCAGTGAACTTGAAGGTAGAATAACAGAAACTACCCAATGAAGAGCAGACAGAATAAAATATGGGCAGAGCCTTAGGGACTTGTAGGAAATAGATTCAAGAAGCTGTATCAGTCTCACCCAGTATGATAAACCCACGGAAGCCTCTGTGAAGATACATCATTGTGGGCCTCGTGAAAATGAAAGGCAATGTGAGCAAAGCCACCGCTCATGAGCCTGGGCGGCGGGGGCAGGTGGCTCGGTGCACTGGTCCAGTGTGTTAGAAGAACTGTCTGCCCAGAGAACTCTGCGTCCACTGGACCGACCCTTGGGAGTGACGGGGAAACTCAGACTTTGCAGGTGAGGGAGACTGAGAGCTTGGTGGCCAGTAGGCCTGCCGTGAGGAAAGGCTCAGGGAAGTTCTCATCAGAAAGGAGTGAGAGTGCTGTCGGCATCAGGAAGGGGACAGTGCGGAGAGGGAAGCTGTGGATGTACATTCTGCTTCTCGAATTTTTAAGATTATGTTTAACAGTTGAGGCAGAAATAATAATGTTGTCTGATGGGTTAAAAAATAGATGAACAAAAGAACAGAAAGAAGAAAGGCAGGCTTCTGAGAAGGAGGCTTCCTAGCCCGAGAGTTGTTGCTCCTTCTGTTCCCTGCCAAAGTGCCGCTGAAGAGTCGCTGGGACAGTTTCACCTGTCAGTAAGCCTACAGTGTCCTGCACGCCATGCTGCTCTGTCCATGGGGCACGGTGTCCTGGGAAGGAGAACAGGGCAGGCTGGTGGCCACCTAGAGAGGCCTCTCAGACAAAGCACAATGAACATGGGCCTGAAAGGGAGGAGGGAGCAGCCTAGCGGGCATGTTGGGGGGCGGGGGACAACCTCCTGTCTCTTGGTGGATTCATTTCCAGAACTCCGAGTGGACTTGCCCATTGTGTCTCTTCGGTTTTGACTTCTCCAGGAGAGAAGTTAACTGATGTAGTCTGTTGCCTTCTAGTCAAAGCCATAGCATCAACAGGGTTGTGAACAATTTTAGACCTCTTTGAAACTGGTGGCCTTGTGACATGATTAAGCCCAGTGTGGGGACATGGGTAGGTGCTTTTGGCAGCAGTGTGAGGGTGCCATCTGCTCTTCCAGGCTGCTGGCAGGCTTCCTTCCCACCTCCTATGGAGGTTCACAGGAACCTGTGCAACACGGTTGTGTGTGCAGCTCAGCTGCCCGCTCCTTCCCTCCTGTTCCGCCTTGCTGGTGACGTCACGAGTTTGTTTGCCCATCCTGGCTGGCCCAGGTGCCCTCCTGCTTTGTAGGGCACAGGTGTGGTGCCAGGTCCTACCTGTATTCTGACTCTGTGAGTCTTCCAGACTAGCAGGAGGGTGGGCACCATCGTTTGGAAACGCCTGCTCTGGTTTGGGTAATGAGTGTGACCTTTCTGAAGGCGAGATTGCTCTCCCAGAAGTTTACTCATAGTTTTATGTCATGTCCTCCAGGGCTTATTGCTCTCTAAATGTCACCACTGGTATGTAGTTATTTGAGACTAATCATAAAAAAAAAACAAAAAAACAGTTAATGGTTGTGTTAATGATATAGAGGCAAAAGACAGACTTTTGTGGCTCAGTATTACTGCGAAGAGCTGTGTGTACTTTTTTCATAGTTTTCTAATTAGCAGCATGAAAAGACAATTTTTATTCCTTTTAGTTCTTACAGAAGTAAAATACATGAGTTTGGTGTTCTAAGTGGCATTTAGAAAGCCAGTCTGTTTTGATTTCTGGTGCAGTACTTCCTGAATGGAGATGCTGGAGACACTCCCTGTTGCGTGGTGAATGAGTCTCAGGGGCTGAGGAGCATTTCTTTGGAGCTCAGGATGGCTCATTCTTTGAGCAGTCAAGGGTGGCATTGGGCTTCGTGGTGCAGGTGCATTAGTAACCTCCAGAGATAGGCAGTAGAATCTCCCTTTTACACTTGAGGCAGTGGAAGTGCAGAGAGGCTAGGTAATTTGTCCAAGGTCCCTTAATTAGTCTGGGCAGAGCTGGGATCCAGACCGTCATTGGCCAACTCCAAAGCCCTTGCATTGTTGTCATCTGCTTTGCTGCTGCTTTCACTGGCAGGGTGATTCTGGTACTTAGCCATAGGCGCTTAGTTGCTTAGAACTTATTTCATTTTTCTACTTTACTGTTATATAACCAAAATTTATTTTAATAATCGGAATTCAGAGCCATTTAAACTTGCTTCTTCTATAAAGTAATTTTTATTCTATTCTTCCAGTTTTCACTTTGGAGTTGCAAGGTCATCAGAAGAATGGGAAGTAGCGCCAAATTCCCTCTGGTTTAGAAGTTTTTAGACTCACTCTTGCTACGTGTTTTCTTTTTTTCCCCTCAAATGGGATATAAACTCTTTCCTTCTTGCCAGGAGTGTAGTGCTGGCCCCAGTGCCCATGCTCCTCTCTTCTGCAGTTTCAGAGCTGCATTGAGAGCCAGTCTGTAACATCTAGATCTAAAGTCATGAGATAGTTTCTTTTGCAGAAACTGGGAAGAGAATCCTAAAATTCATGTGGACATAAAAGAAGCCCAGTGAAAATAATGTGGAAAAAGAATGATGTCAGAGAACTGACACTTCTCAACTTTAAAATTTACTATAAAATATAATGATTGAGGCAGTGGGTAGATGTGTAGATTGCTGGAATAGAGTGGGAGGCGATACAGAAGTATTGCCTTCTGTCTGTGATCAGTGGATTTTCTACAAGGAAGGCTACATAATTTAATAAGAACATAGTTTTTCAGCAAATGGTATTGATATTACTGCGTATCCATGCACAAAAGAATGAAGTTGGGCCCTTCATACCATGCATAAAAATTAACTCAAAGTGGATCATAGACCTAAATATACAAGCTACACCTGTAAAACTCAGCAGAAAATACAAGAGTAAGTCTTTGTGAACAGCAGTAGGCAAAGCCTTTCTTGATACAATATCCAACACAAAAGTAATAGAAGAAAAACAACAGAAAGCTAGGGGTGATAACACACCTCCGTAATCCCAGCATTAGGAGGCTGAGGCAGGGAGATTGTTGCAAGTTCGAGGCCAGCCTGGGCTACAAAGTGAGCTCAAGGCCAGCCTGAACTGCATAGCGAGACCCTGTCTCAAAAAGACCGAAAAAAAAAAGGAAAGATTTTGTCAAAATTAAAAACTTTTATGCTTCAAAGGACCCCAGGAGCTGTTGTTACGGTTTATATCTAAATGTCTCCAAGAGCCTCATGAGCTCATAGGTGGGCCTTTGAAAGATGATTGGGTTAGGGAAGCGTTACAGCATTTGCTGTAACAAGCGAACAGCATTTGCTGATGGAGGGGGTCCAGTAGAAGAGGTGGGTCAGGTCACGGCGCGTCGAGGGTGGGTAGGAGTGACCAGGAAAGGCATCTCCTCTTCCGGCTCCTCTGCGGACTCTCTGCTCTCCAGCCACCATGCCATGAACCACCTTTCCTCTGCCATCCCCTGTGCCATTCCGTCCTGCCATGTAGCCAGTTGACGATGGACTGAAACATGAGCCAAATTAAACCTCCTTTTTTAAGTTGTGGGTGTTGGTATTGTGTCTCAGGGAGAAAATGACTGAGACACAAGTGGGAAAGAGCTCACAGAAGGAAAGTATTTGCAAGTCATACATCTGAGAGGGCCTTGCATCCTAGATTATATAAAGAACTCAAACAGTGCAACCGTAAAATATAAATAAAACCCAGTAGGATCTGAGCAGACATTTCTCCAAAGAAGACACACAGTGCTTGGCAAGCACATGGAAGCGTGTGCATCACTTAGTGCTCAGGGCAGTGCACAGCAAGCTGCAGCAAGACGCCCCTTCGTAACCAATGAGGTGGCTGTAAAAAGTAAACAAAAGAAATGGAAAATGACAGGTGCTGGCGAGGATGTGGAGAAACAGGCGCAGTCCCTCACATGCCGCTGGTGGGAATGCAAGTAGTGTAGTCCCTGGAAAACCACCCAGCAGTTCCTCAAATAGGTAAAACACGAGTTACCCTAAGGCCAGCAATTCTACTCATAGGTTTTTATCCCAGAGCACTGAAAAACACATGTTCACACAGAAACTGGAATGTGTGTTCAGAACAGCATTATTTGTAATAGCCAAAACGTGGAATAATCCAGCTGTCCACCAGTGATTCCGTGGGTAGGTAAAATGTGCTGTATCCATCATCACCAGGAAAAGCTGGAATAAACTTGTCATTACTCTTACTTGTTTTTGTAAGGCCGTTAATTACAAAGTACAAACACTCGGTCCAAAGGCAGAGTTACAGTCTGCACCACGTCCCTTTCACCTTGCTAGTCTCAGCTTCCCTGTCATTTTTTATTTTGTTTTGTTTTTTGTTTTTCTTCCAGTACCAGGAATCGAACTCACAACCTTGTGCTTGCCAGGCAGGCGCTGTGCCGCCGAGCTAAATCCCCAGCCTTCTGTCACTTTTTAAAGGAGCAGTTGGCCGAGCTTAGGGGCCCTTGTGGCTCGCAGGTTGACCACATTTCTGTGTGTGCGTGGTGGTGGCGAGGTGCTGAGTGGCTCGCGTGGGCCTTTTGGAGTCTCACTGGGCTCCGAGTGGCTCACTGCCGCCAGCTGCTCCCAGGGATCCACAGACTGTGGTCCTTGTTTCTCTCCATCTTTCCTTTTCCAGTGGAGCTGCAGGCTTCAGGTCCCATCTCCATCTCTATCCGTACCTCGCAGCACCCAGCTCAGGCTCCCCATGGGTGGACCACGTCAGCACTCAGAGCCGCTGTGATCTAGCTGTCACTGCAGAAGCTGATGGTGGGCCTTGGCGGTCCTGTGCTGTCTCAGAGAGCCCACAGAGCTGAGCTTCCACCACCTCTCCCAGCCTTCCAGACCCTTCTTTTAGGAGATTTCTTGCCACCAGATGGAAGGAATTCTGAAGCCCCTGTCTTGCTTCTTCCCACAGGTCACCAAGGAAAACAGAAACCACCTTCTGCCAGATATTGTGAGGTGTGTGCAGAGGAGCAGGATGTGAGCTGGGCTGAGTCCTTGCTTTGCTGCCCCCAAGGACACCTGGGTCAAGTACAGCTTCTGATGCCTCCCTCCCTTCAGTCTGCTGAGGGAGGTTTGGTGCCTCCAGGTTTATGGACCTTGTGGGTTTTGCCCAAGAAAGCTTGACAACTTCTTTCCATAAAACATTTGATTTGAAAGATCAAGTTAGCCTTGATGCTAGTTGGCCGTCCATGATTAACAACCCAGCACGGCTAGTTTGTGCTTAGAGCTTTGTGTTTATTTACTCTTTGAGCCGGGCACGTGATTTGGTTACAGGATGAGCAATGGGTTGGGACTGTCAGATGGAATGAGCCCCCACTGATGTGTATAAATGTGTCTGGAAGGGGAGAGCAACGTTCACTCTAACCAGCTTTGTGTGTCATAAAGACTAAATGCTCTCCAGGTGCAGCTTTGGTCTTGGGCTGCTCAAAGTCATTAACCTTTTGATTTTTAAAAAGTTATTATTTTTAAAGCAAATCATTGTAGCTTCTCTATTTCTTGTTTCTTTCTTTCTTTCTTTCTTTTTTGTTTTTTTTCCAGTACCGGGAATCGAACTCATAACCTCGCGCTTGCCAGGCAGGCGCTGTGCCGCTGAGCTAAATCCCCAGCCCCTTGTTTATTTCTTTACATATTGTCTAATAAATATAGAAATAAATCTGATGGTGCAGACACACAGTCTTCAGGAGATTGATAACATTCAGGAGGACCAAGGGTAAGAACAAGGGTAAAGTCTGGGATTCACACGACAGCCCTGCTCAGGCTGAGTTAACTTGGATGCATTTTGGAACTTTCTGGACCTAGTTTGCCTTTTAGGAAAGAGAGGGAATGGCTGTCATCAGTGGAGGGTGGTGTGACACTGCAAAAGGCAATGTCCTCACCTGCTCCGCCCATCCCTGTGGAGGTGCTCAGTCTTGTGGGCTGGTACAGCCCCTATCAGGGTCTGTAAGGAAAATAGGAAAGGAGAAGAGATGCAGATTCTCCAGAATTCGTGAAACTGGAGACTGCTGTCCATGTGGCTGGTGGCCCTGGAATAAGGGGCAGCTGAGGGATTTTAGGTCAAGATCTGTGAGTACCATGAAATTTTAGCAACCAGCACTAGCTACAAATGCACTGGTGTGAATGCAGCGTGTCCTCTGTGTACCTGGACAGACTGGGCATGTGTGGGTTCAGGTGTCCATGATGGTAAACACAGCCCACAGCCTGGACAGATGCTCATATTGTTGCATTTCCTCTGGAGAGCTTTTGAAGCCTGACCTGGACTTGCCAAGCCTTTAAGGGCCACAGCACGGAGGCCTGCCAGATGAGGGCCATTTCCCGGTAGGGGTGTGTAGGCATCTCCTTCCACTGTCCATGCCTGGGTAGACTGTTCACAGAGGCCATAGGCTAAGCTCCATACATCTGGCAGGCCATCTGTGACCTCACTGACCGCTAGAATGGGAGGGGCACTGAACACAGATGTGGGCCATGTGTTTGAGGAGGTGAGGGTGGCCACAGTCATACGTAGGGCCTGACCCCGACCAAAAATCTATGCAAGTAGATTTTGCAATGTCTGGAGGCCTCTGTGCCAGAAGACAACAGGGACCAACCAGGCCCAGCACCACCACAGCTGTCTGCCTGGCTGGGGTCAGACCCGCCACTGGAGCCCTGCCTGGTACCTGAGGGTCACTGTCCTCCAAAACCTGGAAGGACACACATGCTCCTTCTACCTCTGGTTCGCACTCATTGTTCCAGCATGACAGTTTAGTGAACTTTGATTTTGTCTTAAGTTAGAAGGAAAACTGGAGGCTTGTAGCTGAAGCTGGTTGGCCCTGTCTGTGGCAGATGGAGATTTGAACCCAAGTTTCAGTGACTCTAAGGCCCGTGATCTTTTACTATGTCCTGCCTCTCCCCACTTAAGCTTTCTGTCATTGTAGTATATCATGTGTCCCCAGACCTCACAGTTGCTATTTTAGCTGCAAGAGACTGGCCAGTCCTCCAGCTGTTGCAGCACCACAGTGTCACAGAGAACGGCCAGTGCAGTGAGTGCGGAGGGCAGGTGCAGTCCCTGTATTGTAAGCAGGAACTTTAATGGAGGCCGTCATGATGTCTGGCACAGTGGGATGAGTCCTGATTAAAGGGAACTTCACTTTGAAAAACGCAAAATTGACATGAACATTGTCCTGTGCAGAATCTCAGCTAAAACAAGGCCTAGTAGAATAAAGCAGAACTGCTTGCTAAATGGTTCTGCCCTCCTGCTCCTTAGCAGATCTTAGCACCCATCAGTTCCAGTCAGTTTGCACACAGCAGTTTAACAAGTTGTTCTCTGTTCTTCTGTAAGAATGAGGCTCTGCAGAAAGATAAAGACAAGCCTTCTAACTTGATTGTGACTATCCTGCCTGGCAGGGAGGTGCTCCCAGGGATTTGCAAATCCAGTCTCTTACCCTGCCCCCCAGCCCTCAGATCACCCAGCAGCCTTGCCCCTAACTTCCTGTCCAGCTCGGTGTTCATGGAAGGCTGTGTCTGGGAAGATCACACCTGTGTATGCCCATGGCAGATGTTGTGTAGCACAAGGCTTGGAACAAAGAGCGGAGGAGGCCAGGTAGCCAGGCGTTGCATCGTACATTGTACAGGTCACAAGACGCCGGAATACCGGTGATTTACAGAACTGCTTGCCAGACACAGATGCTTCCAGACAGCATCAGTGCCAAGTTAGCCAAATGATTTATAGAACACCCAAATGCTACAGTTTTATATTGTCTTTAAAGGAGAAACTGTTATTCAGTGTCCATGTGCAGAAATAACTTTAGCTACATGTTGGCAGAACATGTGAGAACCGTGGCAAGAAATGCCAACTCACGACTGCCTCCTGTAATGGCTTGTAACACCACCCTGGGAGAAGCACTCTGCCACGCACCTGACTGCCTCAAGGGCCGGGGCCCTGTGCTCAGGAATTGCATGTATCAAAGGTGTGGCTGCATTGCTGCCAGTGGCCAACCCGCCGAAAGGAGTCCTGGAGTGACTCATCTTTGCTTGGTGGGTACGAGTGTATGCACACCTCTCTGTGCACACATGGACAGGAGCCTGCACAGTGGAGAAGCAGTTCCTGAGTCTGTATGTGGGTGAGGCGTGTTCATCCTGCCATCCGCATACCCACTGGGCTTCATCCTTTTGGGGGAAGTCCCTGTATGTGCTTTCTTCTAACGCCTGGAGAGTGGTCAGAGTGGAACACAGCTGACCACTGGGGTCACTGTGTTCCACTCTGACCACTTCTGGTCACGTGGCCTCCTGCATATGAACACAAGGGCACACCAGTGTGGGACTGCACACCACTCAGGGCCACCTTTTAGTCCCAAGGGCCAGGCTACATAGTGGCCATGGAATGGCCAGGAGCTGCGGCAGGTGACACCTCACCAGACAACAGCTGCAGATGAACCAGAAATAAAGTCTGTCTGTAGGGATTATCATGTGGGGCACTCTGTCTCTAATTAGAAAGCCCACTTATTGCTATTAATTGCTAGTTCTTATCTTACAAAAATGTGAAAGCATTAGCACCTATTTCCAGTGGTAAGGGGTTTTCTGCTATACTTGCCCTCCTTTGTCCTCCACTCCAACTTGCAAATCTTAGAAGCTTTGGAGACTTTTTTTTTGTCTTTTTGAACCAGGGCCTTGCCGTGCAGTTCAGGCTGGCCTTGGGCTCACTTTGTAGCCCAGGCTGGTCTCGAACTCACAACGATCCTCCTGCCTCAGCCTCCCAAGTGCTGGGATTACAGGCGTGCACCACCACATCCAGCCTTGGAGACATTTTGTGACTGTTCTAAATTGGGTATTTCTTTCTCGCTATTGTCTTTCCAGAGGATGGTCCCACAGGTCAGTGAAATATTCTTCTTGCATGCTGTTTGGGACTCCTGCTCTTCCTCCTGTCAGCAGAAAATCCAGATTTCCCCTCCCTTTGGGCATTTGGAGATGGGAAAAGTTGTCTCAGGATTTGCCCAAATATCAGTCTCATTTCTAGAAACAGATATATTTTTAGGTGAGTTTCAGTTAAGAATCTATTTTTAGAAGTGAAAGCAATTGAAGCAGAACTCAGACACCAGAAAAACACAGCAATAACTGTAAACATTTTAATTCCAAAACAAAGGTGTGTGCAAGTGTGCTTGTGGCACAGCAGGGGCTACTCAGCCTGGAAGAGTCGTGCGCTTGCCTGGGGAGTGCAGGGTACTGGCGGCCCGGAATCACTCGGGCCTGTGGAGTGTTGCATGGTCCAGGATGTCTGGCCATGTACCCCATTTCTAACTCCCATTCTGACATGTCCTGGCTCCTCGAAGAGCACGGAAGACGGGACTGCATGCACCGCCAGAATTCTGCGAGGGGGTGCTGCTGGCTACGCCTACAGCTGCATAAATACTACAAAGAAGTGAGATTTCCTTTGCTTGGGCTTGGACACACTGGACCCACCCATGGTGTCGCCTGCGCTGCAGTCCCTGTCTCTCCTGGTAACAGCAGTGTGCAAAGTGCCAGTTACTGGCATGTGGTGGTCCTGTTCTCATGAGGGCAGGAAGGAGTTACTCACAGGCTGTATTTGCTCCACTTGTTTTCAGATATTAAATGGCTTTTGTTTGAAATGTCAGATTCTTCGTGCAGTGCTTGGAGGGAGGAAGTGTGGTGTCTTTGTCCCCCGTCGTGTGAGATTTTTTCAAGAACCTGAGATAAAGGTAGTGACTGTTTCTAGAACAGCTCCCATTTCCTCTGGGGAAGGGCCCTTTGGGTGCACAGCGCTCGCTCATTGTGTTGGGAGCAGGGGAAAGAGTGACAGTGGCCGGTGGGGACTCTTTCTCCCCACCAGGCGCCTCTCCACTATTGCTCATCCGAAGCACTCTGCTGGGAAGCAGTGTCATCCAGGCCCATGTCCTCCTGGCTCGCTCTTCTGCACATCACCCCCAGGTTCTCTGCCACAGCCTCAGCAAGACGTTGGTCACGAAGCTGCCTCTGCTCCGCAGCCTCGGTGGGGTCACATGGCTCTGAGAAGTGCTTCCAGGGAACAGGAAGAAGCAGTGACAGTCAGGACTCATTCACTGCCTAGATCCTCTAGTCCCCTACTCTGATGTGCTACCCTAGGACTGGGGATGCAGCGATCTTGAGGGCAGGCCCTCCAGCTATTCAAATGACGGGACTGACCAGGTGGCCTCTGGGGTTAGGCTGGGGCCTCTTCTTGAGGTCTGGGATACATTAGACACAAATGGAGAGGCCATGTGTGTGACTGGTTCTCCTCACACACAAACCCAGTAGGTTTGACACCAGTGGTGGTACCAAAGCCTTGGCATTCTGGATGACCGTGGTCCCAAGGACTCATTGTCCTTGGAGTCTGGGAAAGAGAATTTTCCAGGATCCCAAAGACATCCCCACAGACTGCGATTAAACATAGATTAGGGGGTGGGGAAAGGGCATTTTGTATCTTTTTATCAAGGAAATATAAAAGAGAAAGATGCTTATATGTGTGGTTACATAGCTAAACTTGGGTAAATCATCTACAGCCACCAGCGTCTTTCCCCTAGCCAGTGTGGCCTGAGGACCAAGGAAGCCCATCGCCAACCCACCGCCCAGAGGTCACACCAGTGCTGCAGCCCAGGGTTCTTGGGACATTCTCCATTGGAGGACAACATGGAAGAGAGGAAGGGTAACACTGAGGATACCAGGGCTGGTCCCCTTTCCCGCAAATAACTGCACCAAGACCAGAGATCAGGCCGCTGTAACCCGCAAGCGTGTGAGCCTTGGGCAACAGCAGGGAAGTGTCTAAATCTGAATGAATCTTTAAATTAATACTAACTTTCCATTTCTACCACATTGTGTAAACAAGCTTCTGGTGTTCATCATTTGTCTACTCATGAGGCTCAGGTGTGTAACGTCAGTGAGTGTGGCATTCTGGACACGTAACAGCTTACCTTGCTGAAATCCTTAAAACTCTAGAATCTAAACACCTGAGCATGTGAGACACCTCATGGCTCTCAGAGTCAGTCCTTTGGATGGGATCGGTGGTCATTTAACTCTGGTGCTCATGGGTGTCCTTGGCTCTCCTTTAGGCCAGAGTGATGCGAAGAAGGAAGTGACTGAGCTTCCGGGGCAGATGAGGGACATTCTCGCTACGCCCAGCCACAGTTCTGCTCCACAGCTCTGCTGAGCGCCTGGACCTAGCCATCCTAAAGTGCTCACAGGGGCTGGTGTACAGGTTTGCCCAGAGTACAGGGAGCAGCTTCGTGTCTCGTTACCTGCATGACCCTGGTAGCCCTGGGGTAGAGGGTGGGAATCTGGAAGGAATGGGTAGAGTCCAGGAGGCCAGGCCTAGAGCCGGGCCCTGCTCTCTATCTCCCAGCCCAAGTCACCTTACCCGTGTGGAATGGCCTGCGGCCCTGGCTGAGGGGCCCATCACGATGTTGACGCTGCTCGATGACTGTGTGTCACTGGTGTTGCCCCCTTCTGCTGCGGACAGTCCAGAAATGACGAGAGCACTGGAAAAACTCCTCTTGCCAAAGAGGAAGCTGAGGGTAGAGCTGGTGGAGGAGCCCAGGCTGGACCGGATGAGCGCCTCTGCGCGCTCTCGGACACTCAGGTGGCCTGTGGTGGTGACAGGGGGCGGCTGGGAGTGCAGGGACGTGGCTGACGTATGCAAGGAGAGCCGGCTGCCTGAGGGCCGTGGGGCCAGCTCGTGGACGGATGTGGATGTTTGTAGGAAGGCCTGGCGGCTCTCTACAATGGGGCCTGATGAGCTCAGGGTAGGCAGCCTCTGGCTGAGCGCTGAGGGTGCCTGGACAGACTGGCTCCTTCCTTTCCTGCAGCCTGTGAAGGGAAGCAGAACACCTGGTCATCCATGTCCCACTGGGGCAAGAAGTGCCGTGAGGGACATGGAGGTTTGTTCCCTCAGCGGGTGAGAAGACGGGCCAAACATGGGTAGATGGGAGGGGTTAGTCCTGGGGTCTTCAACACAGCATGGTGACTACAGTCTACACTTCACGATCCATTTCAAATAATGAGATGGAAGAGCCTGACAGTTACCACCACAAATGTTAAGGGGTGTGATCAAAATACAGTGAGTGTTTTAAAAATTATTACAAGCAGGTGTGTAATTTCCTCCTGAAAGGGCCTTGTTCAGCCCCAGTGCCACTAAGTCCCTGCTGAGAAGGTGGAATGTTTCTCTTCTAGAAGAAAACAAATAGGAGGAAAAAGACCGACAAATTAAAAGCTAAGAGCGGGGATTGTGATTTGTTAGTTTATTCAGAGTGAGACAAGGCCAAGCATCTGTTTGTGATTTACACTGTAAGCCACTCAGTGCTCCACACACCACCCTGACTGGACGGGGAACAACCCCGCTACCTCTGGGAACAAAGGGGCAAAGCCACCATGGGTAGCAAACGGAGAAGTGTGTAGTGTCTGCAAGACAGGGGCCCTCCCCCACTTCATTGTTTCAGATGTTCCTTTGGCTCTTAATTTCTCTTTTTAAATTTTTAATTTTGTAAATGACACAGCACCAAGTAAGCAAACCACACTAAAACCATTTGTGCTGCCCAGGATCATTATTTTATGATTTAACTTATCTTGCCAATTACTGCATTATCAAATTATGAGTGTTTCTAGGGAAAAACGTTAGTGCCTGAGTGGAAATACAATATGAACTACCCTCCTTTGGGCATCATTCTTCATCTCTGATCATTATCTGAGAGGCTGCAGTGCAAGTCGTGGGCAATCCAAGGACCCGGCCTTCCTCTCTAGTGGGGGACTATGCTGGCAATGGCTTTCCAGCTGCTCCTGGGAAGTAGGTCACAGGCCTTGCACTGTGCCCATGCTCCCCCAGCTGTGACACGTATTCTGTACCCCTGCAAGAGGGTGGTGTCTGGTCAGGCCTCAGTGGGGTTGGCACATAAGTGCCTGGCAGTGGGGCATGGTGGCCTGGGGAAAGGGGTGCTGCTCAGGGGTCTTGTGGGGGTGGGGGTACCGGTCCTGTAGGGCGCATGGTGGTAACAGAGGTTGGAGTAAGGAAGGGCTGGGGTAGTGGGGTCCTCAGGCAAGCCTTGGTCACTGAGAGGAACAAGACCCTGAGAACTGGCTCTAGTTCCTCCTTCAGAGTTGCTCCCTCTCTGCTATGTAGCTAAGCCTTCCATCCTGCCCCTCACATCGAAGAACATCCTGGCCTGTGAGGCCCCGGCCCTGCCTCTTGAATGGCACTTACCATACTGTATCACCACAGATACAAGGTCTGCTCTGCCATTGGCCTGAACCTTTTGAAGCGAATGACTCCTGCACTGTTTTGGTTACTTCACACCCAGCATCAATGACTCCCATAATTAATTACAGGACGGAGCAACCTGTAAAACTGACCTGGCCCAGAAACTCTGCTGAGGGACCCAGGAGACCTCCCCAGAAAGTTTGCAGTAGATACGGGTCTTCCTAAGCTTGGCCATTAGAACCATTTGGAAAGACTAAAAAACCACTGCTCCCTAGGGGCTGAGACCCATGCTGTCACCCGCAGGCAGGCCACAGCGAGGAAAGTGACTCCCTTACTGCTCCAGGTCAGGCTCAGGAATATCCCTGCTAATGGAGCATGCCTCTATGCCCTGTCCTGGCTTCCTCTCTGGAAGCTGCTTGGCCCAATTTAGATGGGCAGAGCAGTTTGAATCAACTGGGGAAGAGAAGAGGCCAGAGAAGCTGAGATGGAATTGCCCCACCATCTCCACAGCATTGTGGGGTTTCCCTCTGGAGGCGACAGTCTACTGGGAACAGCATGCATATGGCTTCTCCGAAGTCTTCCAGGAACTCACAGGGGTTGCCGGGTGGCTGCCCCTCCCCCTTGTGGCCTTGTCTCCGGGCCTGCTCTTCTTGGGACCTCAGGGGCTGCCTGCACACAAGCCTCAGGGGAGTACCTCAGATGGATGGAAACTGTTCCCCTGCAGCTGAAAACCCTAAGTGCCCACATGGGGACTTGAATCCAGTTGGTTTAATGATCTGGCAAAGTGGCTGCCCTGCCAGACACACCTGCTGCATGGCCTTCTGGAGATAGTCTGGTGTGCTGGGTGGGAAGGGCCTGCAGGGACTGTGGGCGTAGTCCTGTCAGGGAGGTAGCCTGTTAGCTGCCTTTGGACCCCTCTTTCCACGGTTGATGTGGCCAGAGCCCTATCATCAAGCTTCATCGGATGCTTAGTCCTTGGTCTCCTGGCTTCTGACACCTCAATCTGAGTCAGGCCTTGGTGGGACCCTGGCAGGGGCTTCAGGCACTCAGGACAAATGGTGACCTCAGAAAAGATACCAGGATCAGCACTTCTGGCTATGATGACTCTGATGGCTGGAAGCCCCACATAGGAACTCTGAGCCCTGACCACCTGGTACCTGCTGGCTGGGACACTGTAATACAAGCAGCCAAAGCTAGAGGGAGACTGTCCACCCATCCAGTCACCCAGCATCTGCTGAGCTCAGGACCACCCTTGCCTGAGCACCCATGCATAGGCCTGGCCTTCCTTGCAGTGCTAGCAGGATGCAGGGACAGTGGGGAAGAGAGTGGCGCCCACACATACCCTATCCCCCCACACGCCCTATCCAATGAGTGCCCATCGTCCTGTGTGTGGGGCAACTCACAGTCACAGTCCCCTCTCGCAGGATTTTTTTTCGGTACCAGGAATTGAACCCAGGGCCTTTCTGCTGAGCTACATCTCTGTTTTTTCATTTCAAGTTAGGGTCTCACTACGTCAGCCAGGTTGGGTTTGAACTTGCGATCCTGATGCCTCAGCCTCCCAGAGAGCCGGGATTACAATCATGTGCCACCACACCTGGTCATCACGGGAGAATTCTTAGGGGAAGTATGTGAGGGAGAGGTGGGGCAGGGGCATGGGCAGGGCATGTCCCATGCTTGGCTGGCAGGCCTCTGATTGGAAGAGCCAGTCACCTCAGTGGCTTAATGGTCTGGAGAGGTGGCTGCCCTGGGAGGGGTGCATTTGAGGTAGCGGTGGCAGCAGCTGCAGGGGCCCTGAGGGGGCAGCGGTGTGCACCAGCGAGGGACAGGACACTGTGACCTAAGCACACAGCAGAAGTGCGAGTGCAGAACTCAGACAGTGGCAGCAAGAGGCCTGCGACCAGCTGCAGGCAGGGGCAGTGGGACAGGCTGGACTGTGTCCGTCCACACTTGTGATGACGTCCCAAACCCAGCACCTCACTTAGAAACAGGGTCATTGTGAGACTGTTAGGGGCCAGCACTGTGGTATGACAAAATAAGCCTCTGGGTGCAGCAAGCTGTGATCTTTTATAGATGGCGTGTTTCAAGAAACCCATCGTGAGACCCTAATAAAACCACAGAGGCAGAACCCTTGCATGAAATGAGAAATTCCTATGAAGGATACAAACAAATAAGCCCTCTAGCCTCACTTGCTCTTAATCAACTTAAAATCACTAAGTTTGGAGGTCACACAGCTGGGCAATACATCATTAGTTTCCCCCCAGCACTGGTGTAGATGGCACGTCTGATGTGGGGGTTATGATAACAGTTGTCTGGGTTAATTCCTGGAAACTCAAAGGCCACTTTTGCTAAGAAAACTGACCCCTTACTTTGGCCTGCAGAGACCTGATGGGAGTCTGAAATGGGATAAAGGGTTGGGGTCTCTGTTTTAATATTGTATCTGTCCCCTTTTTTATCTTAACTCTTGGGTCAAATTCCACTCAGCTCTGCCTGTAGGCACATTGATCATTTAAAAATGTTTAGGCTGAAACTATAAGACAGGGATAACTTGGCCTAGCACCTGTTGGAGCTGGTGTGTGTTTCCTTTTCTTTTTCTCCTTTTTTCTACCCCCACCTTTGTTCCTCAACAGCTACTAAAGCCCAAGCACCTCAAGTCCTTCAACCCCATCATAGAACCTGAACCCTCACCCACAAGGCCAGGATGTTCTCTGCAGGATGATGGCTCCAGCTACATGAAAATTAAACAGCTTTTAGGATGAGTTGACCATGCCCACTCAGCATCCAAGTCTATCACAAGGTGAAGCATCTTTTGGAACCAAGGCCTTGGCCGACGGGAATGAGTGGACCTTAGCCCCCGCTAGCTCACTGGTGAAAGCCTGCTGCTCTCTTTGTTTTGGTAACAGCTTGGTCACTCCCTTGACCAATTGCTGACTCCCTTCAGTCAAAGCCCAGTTGGGCTGAGCTCCCCTCCCACTTCTACCCCCTCTCCATAAAGCTTTGCCTATCCAGGAGTGCTTGTGTGTGCAGCATTTGGCCCAGTCCGCTTTCTACCATGTCTGTCTGGGTCAAGTGTCTCATCATCTGGTCTCAGCCACTGATGTAGTGAGTTAAAATGAGGTCACCGGGGGTAGGGTGGGGCTCTAATCCAACGTAACCAGTGCCTTTTAGAAAGGGGATGTCTGCACACAGGGAGAACAACACTGTGTAAGGATGAAGGCGGAGGTCCTTGGTACTTCTACAACCTTGGAATACGAAGTCAGCCAGCAGTACCAGAGGCCTGGGAGACAGACTGCCCCTCATGGCCACAGGGAAACCAACTCTTGACTTTGGGTTTCCACCGTCCAGACTGTGGGACAAGAAGCTTCTGTCCTGCAAGCCACTTGGGCTGTGGGACTTGTCACTTATCCGGGTGTATTCTGTATAACAGGTGTCATTCCACACAAGAGAAGACGAACCGATGTAAGTGAAATTAAAATCACCCTGACTGCCGTGTGAAGGGGAGATTATGACCGTGTGAGTTGTCAGAGCTGCCCAGAGGCCAGCGAGAGTGAGGCAGTGAAGCCATCCCGATTCCACGTCCTACTGCTGCAGCTCTCTGAACCTCCACTGGGCACATGCCCAGGGTAGCCTGCCTGGCTGCAGTGACTTCTTCCCTAGGCATGGCGTTCCCTGAGCCTGAGACGGTGCCAGGCTTCTCCAGGTGGGCAGGCCGTGAGGTAGCTGTTTCCTCCTTGCCCATAGTGAGGAAAGGAAACCCTGGCTGGCTGCCTCAGAAGGATGGGAGCATTGGCTCTGCCTGCTTGTGGGGCCAGAAGGAAGATCTCTAGTAAGCGGAGCCCTTGCCAGCCAGGGGACAGAACAAAGTCAGAGCAGCAGGTACAGTACCAGAGGCGCAGATGGAGTGCTAGGGGTGAGTGTGTTCCAGGCATTTAAGGTTCTCAGGGCTGGGACAGGGTGACAGCATCCAGGGCCAGGGCCACAGCAGTGCATGGTGGTTAGGATAGTGTCTGTGTATATCCTAGATCAGCTTACTAGCTGGGCACCTTAGGGCAGTGACTGACCTTTCTCAGTGCCCAGTTCCTCCCTCTGTATGGTGAGGACAGTGAATGCTCCTGGTGCCCAGAGTCCGGTAGGTTTGGGGGAACTTGCCCACATACTGTCCTCATTGTGCTGTTCCCAAGAGCAACACCTAGAACTGACGCTAGAATCGAGCGCAGTCACTGCACGAGGGGCACAGGGTGAGAAGGCAGCCTGTGCCAGGCGTCCAACCCCAACTGCCTACAGTAACTGCCTACAGTAGCAGCCAATGTGCAGTCTCACGGCTGGAGCAAACACAGGCTGCAGTGGGGCCAGTGAGCCAAGGCCAGGATCCTGAGCAGAAAGTGTCACCGGCATGCCCCAAACTTTACATTGTGGAAAGCCACGGTGGCCTTAGAGGCTCAGTACTAAGAAGCAATAATGACACGTTAACAGCTGGTTTAGACCTTTTGAAGGTCTCGCCCTGACAGCTGCCCCAAAGGGCATGGAGGGCTGCAGTGAGCCGGAGGAGCCCACTGCCATGGCTGGCTCTGGCAGGGGTGCCAGGCTTCTGCAGGTAGGCGGCTGCAGTTTGCTCTGATCTCAGAGGATGCAGCCCCCCCACATATCCTCTTACCACGCTGTAGACCCCGACCTTGCCTGGCTGGCTGGTTCCCTGAAGGGTGGCAAATGCTCAGGCTCCTCCCCACAGGACCCCCTCGCACTTCGCATCTGGCAGGTCACCTACATGACCCTGAAATTCATTTCTCTGGCGATAACAAATGTTATGGAAGCAATAAGATCCTTCCAGCTTGAGAACCAGATGCAGTATGGAGGCCTTGGGATGAGGAATCCCTCAGGGCAGATAGCAATGGCAGAGGAAGGAGTTCATTTCTTCTGACACCTGACAATAGCTCCTCTGCCCATTCACCTGTCTACTTACCCACTCTTCTGTCAATCATTTATCTACAGGTCATTTATTTATCATCTGTTTCTCAATCTGTTATTCACCTGTTATCTATCATCTATGTCTCTATCACCTATCAATCCATCCAGCATCTTTATCTCTATCTATCATCTATTTCTGTATCATCTATCACTTATCAATCTATTATCTATATATTATCCACCTGATATCTATCATTTATCATCTATTATCACTTATCTCCATATCTTCATCAATCATCCATATATCAATCACATCTATCAGGGGCTGGGGATTTCGTTCAGCGGCAAAAGCGCCTGCCTGGCAAGCGCAAGGTCGTGAGTTCGGTTCCCGGTACCGGAGAAAAACAAAACAAAACAAAAAAATCACATCTATCATCTATCACTTTTACCTATCAATCAACTATATAGCTATCATCTATGACATCTATTTTCTATATCTATCCTTCTACCTCCTCTATCTGTTCCATCTATCTATCTATCATTTACCTATCATTCATCTTCATTTTTCTATCAATCATCCATCATTCTATCATCTGTGTATTTCACCTGCCTGCTATCATTTTCATCTATCATCCATCTCCATTTCTCTATCACCTGTTTATCTATCTATCTATCTATCTATCTATCTATCTATCTCATCTATCTATCTCTGTCACCTATATCTATCTTTCTATCTCATATATCTCTCCTCTCATCTATCATTCCTATCATCTATTTTCTACCTATCATGACTATCACATCTATCTATGATCTGTATCTGTCACCTGAATCTATCCATCCTGCCTGCCTATGTTTATATAATCCTACTACTGCACCTCAACCCTCTGCCTTATGTGGGCACTCCTCCCAGGGCTCACCTGGGGCAAGGCTGGCAGGGAGCCATGTACAGAGGTACTTAGTAAACGCTTCTGGAAGATGAGGAAGGAAGAACTGAGGCCAAACAATGAATCACTAACAGGCTTCAGAGGGTAGAGCCAAGGAGTCAGAAGAGAGCATCTGCCTCCCTGGTCCCTAGGCCATGTCTTTTGCAAACACCCCAGGCTCTTCTCGCTGGCAGTACCACCTCACACCCTCACAGCAACCCCAGTGGACATCAGAATCCTATCCATCTGGTTCAGCCTGACTTTCCTATTTGGAAGAAGTTTAAGCAGGATTTTCAACTTTAGACTCAGCCTGAATTTGGTCCCAGCTACCTCCTGTGCTGCCATCAAGGTGACCCTCCATCCCTCTTCCTTTGCCCTCTGGAATGCTGGTGGCAAGTGGAGGGATGAGGACCAGGGAGAGCAGTACGTGCAGTGGCCTGTCTGTGCAGGAGGAGGACACAAGGCCGACCCTGAGAGAGGTGAGACAGATGAATGGCTGCCCAAGATGATGGACAGACTGACAGACATGATCAAAACCAGACCTCACAGGGGTGGAGAATTTTCTTCAGCAGAGCTCAACGGGGGTCAATCCACATGCACAGCCATTGGCCAGGGGCGACTCCTACTGCCGGAGGAGCTCTTGGCACAGGGACGATGACTTACCCACAGTGTGAGGCCGAGGTTCTGCAGGCAGCACTTACCTGTCCTCTGAGCGCCTTCGCGCGGGGAGACCCAGTGCTGGGTGCCACCTTTCTGGGGCTGCTCCACACTGCCGTCCCCACTTGGGGCCCCACCCCCATCCAGGTCCTCAATGGCTCCTCCGCTCCTCTGCCCGGCATTGCAGTCCTTGCGCATGCTGTGAGGGGAGACAACTTCCAGGGCTCGGCCATGTACTGTGTGTGCCACAAGGTCACAGCCAACACAGGCTCCCCAAAACTAGGTCACCTGGGGACAATGCAGCTGCCGTGGTCCTCACAAGTTGTGCATTCTTACTGATGCTTGCACAGTGAGGACATCGCCTCACGATTTGCAGAATGCATTCCTGCAGCTATGCAACAGGGGACTGTCCCTGAGCCCCTCACAGCTGTGTCTGAGTTGTAGGCAAGACCATGCTCTCCAGGTGAGCAGACCCTGAGAGCATATGGGGAAAGCCCATATTTTCTTAAGCCCCTGTGTCTAATAAGTGAACAGATACACCAGGGGGAAGAAGCCTCAGGAGACCCCATAGCCTTGATACCTGGTCAGGTACACAGCACATCGCAAGGTAAGTCTTAGCAGTCCACAGAAACCACAGGCTCACTGATGCACCAGTGAGGCATTTAATGAGGTGTTGTGCAGTTCCCTCTGGCACAGGTACAGGTAGATCTCAGCTGGAGGGGTGCAGGAGGCAACTCCTCGTGTAAAAGTGCCCATAACTCGCTTGGAGACGGTTGGACAAGTGACTTGTTAAATGCCACTCGGATAAAGTTTCATTCAATGACACAGTGGTGGTGGTGACATTCTAAAGACATCAAGAGAACTCTGCACACCCACCCCACGGCATGTAGGTGCAAGCCTCTGTGGCACACTCCTACCTCAGCCACCTGGCTCGGAACCACGTCCTCAGTCTGTCCAGTGTGACAGGCCCACCCCAGACGTTCCTCAGCTGCGGGTGGGTCCCCAGGTAGGAGGTGGTTAGCGGGGAGACGTACATGGGGTAGCCCAGGGGCTGGTCACACGAGGAATTGATAAGGTTCCTCAGGACCTGCTTATTGTTCTGGATGCTGCCACGCTCTGGGTTGCGGTTGCGGAGGAAGATGAGCTCCTGCTGCTGCCCGGCCCAGAGTCCCCGAACACACTCTTTGTTCACCTGCAGGCATGGGGAGAAACGCATGGCCTGTTACTAACCACGCCCAGTGAGTGGGGCTCAGGGATCCGACATCTGTGACTATATCACTGGCCAGAGGTTCTTGTCACAGTCAGTCCTACAAAATAGAGATGATGCCATTTTCACTGGGAAACTGGGAATGGAAAGAAAGATTTTGTTTTAGCCTTGTGGTTCAAAGCTATATGGAAAAAAAAAACAAAAAAAACAGTATAGGGAACAAGGATTTTCCATAGAAAAATGGAAAAATGAGCCAGATCCTGGCCCTCATCTACAAATGTGTCCACTGAGATGTTTGGCCCAAGCCCTTGGTCTCTAGGGTAGAGATGGCCCTTCAGGGGACTGTAGCACCCAAGCTCCTGGTTGGTTTCAGATTCTGGCCATTGCTTCTCTGGGCTGTTCCTCTGACCTGAGGCCACTGGCCCAGGGACATGCACATTGGTGCCATCCACCTATTTCTTCCTGGGCAATCTCTAGCCAGGGCCTTGGGACGGGGACGGGAGCAGGGCTGTGGCCATACCTTGATCACCTTGAAGCTCAGGAAGCCCCTGTGAAGCATGATGACCTTGTACTCATCAGTACCCTCATCCACCACATGTCGCAGGGTCAGCAGTTCCTCCCTGTTGGACAGCACAGCACCCCTCCAGGCTGGGTCGGCCTCATGACAAATCACCACTTTCTGCTCAAAGGACTGGATGGCTCCATAGAGGACAGCGGGGTCTTCATATTCATCAGGGCATGTGAACTGGTCCTAGGGGACGTCCATGCAGGCAAATGTGCAGATGGTGACCAACAGTAAGCTCCGAGGCCACATCCTTTCCTGTCTTTCTCCCTCCCCATTTGTTCTCTGAATCCTGAGCTGGGTGCAGGGAACGTGTCTCCACTAATGGGCCTCACAATAGAGTATGCTCAGGAAAGAGCTTTGTGGCTATGTCCCTATGACTTAAGACACTGGTTGGGCATTCTGTCGTGCCATTCTCTCTGGCCAATACAGCTCCTTCCTTCCCAGAGGATGTCACCCCCCACCCACAAGTTCCTGAGGGCAAACGGCCACTGGCTAACATTGAGACTTTCCAATGGCCTCAGTGCTTTTTGACCAAGGTGATGAACACTCCCAGTGTTGTACAGAGAAAGGGGACTGTGTATTTCCAAGGCTATTTTTTCCCTAAAGTTTTAGGCTGAAGTCATCACAAACTGAGATTTTACCTGATGCAGTTTCAGGGACATCCTGACGGCGGGAGCGACAACTTTATGCAGCAGGTCCATGTCAGCAAACACCCACTCATCCCGTGCTGTGATCCTGAAGTCACCTTTGAACAGTGCGTGAAGGCCATAGAGGAAGGAGTCCAGGCTGCAAGACATGGGCTTATCACTGCCATCACACTGTGCACATGGCTGGAGTCCCGCCACCTGTCTAGGCTGTGAGTCTCCCAATACAAAGTTTATCTTAACATTTTTAGGCTGATCCAGCAGGAAAGGACCAGAGCACCAAATGCCTGGCCCTGCAGCCAGGTTTAGGGTCCCTGACCAGTGCTGATACCAGGGCATGGGGCCAACTCTAGTCACTTTAGAAGACACCAAAAGGATTTCTGAGGGCAAAATTCAAGGCTCCTTTCAGAATAGACCAAATGTATGTGCTCAGAGTGTTTTGAGACAGCAGGTTCATCTCTCCCAAGACTCCTACTGCCCGCCCTGCCACCTCTTAGGAGGAGGTCATGCCAACCGTGCCACCACCCAACACCCTTATTTCTCGTCTTTATTTGGTGGATATGATTTCTGGGCTGTATTATTTGTAATAAAAATTTTCTCTCTACCATAGCACAGAGAGAGAAAACAAAACAAAATAAAATGAAACTAGAAGCTGGCCTTTTACATCCTTAGAGCTCCTCTATTTCTGGTGTCACCCTGCTTTTGATGGCCAGGGGAGGAGGCAGAGCAGAAAGTACACGATAGATAGCTCAGGATTCCGGGGCTGGCTGGTTTTCATGTCTCCAGAATCCCTGCTTCTTGCAGTCCCTGCTTTACCCATCATCACTGACAGCGCTTGGAGCCTGGAGACCTTAAGTGCAGGGTGAGCATGGGGGTAGGTTTGAGAAAATGATCCATCCTGCTTTCTGAGGTCAGGATTACTGTGCTCTCTTGCAGAAGGAGAAGCACCCTGAGCAGGCTGACCGGGATAGGGGGAGCAGGGTGAGTGTGGAGGAAGGAATTGCCCAGGGCAGCCGCTCCAGGATTTAATAAGGCAGCTCAGCGAGCAGGACTTTAGATGCAGCTCAGTGCTTTAGACCTGAACATCAGGGAAATGGTTCTGCTGATTGCTGTTTTAACATTTCACCATGAAATGTATCACTATCATTAATTTCCTGCTGGAACTCCCTTGAGAAAAATGCCTAGGCTTTGTGCCAGAGCAGACTGTGGGAAACAGGAGCAGCCAGCGGCTGGTCAGGTGGGGCTACAGATGCTGTGGCCTGGAGGAGCAGAGAGCCTTACCAGAGAGAGACAGATAAAAGGAGCATCCTTTCCCCAAAAAACCCTCCTCCCCCGACAGAACCAAAGCTTCCTGGGTCAGGAGCTGCAGCCAGCTGCCTGGGAGGCGCCAGAGGATGGTAGAGTCATAGGACAGCAGAGTTGGGCTGCAGGAAGGCTAATGGAGCAAGGGCCTTGAAATATGAATGAGGCCTGCCATCCATGCCCAGCGGAAACATCTGAAGGTGCTCCTATCAGCAGGGAAGACTGAGCACTAGACAGCAGGACCACGTGCTAACGGTGGGACGTATTCAGGAAAGGAGCCAGGACGCCATGCTGAGTGCTGGGAACGGCCTCACCCATACATAAGAGAAACTCCCCCTTCAGATGTGAGGATGGGGCGGGCGCAAAGGAAGATCCTGGGACCTGCTCACATGCTGCAAGCAAAGCTACAGACAAAGGACAAGAGCAAGGAGTTGCAGCTTGGCCTCTGGCAGACTCAGCAGCACCCTTAAGGAAGCTATCAAGGCTTTACTCGCCATGGAGGACGCTCAGCTTCCCCCAGAGCTTCCACAAGATGCCAAGCCTCCTTTCTGTGGCCTCCAACAGTACATACTTCGGCTGTCCCTTTTCTGTCCAGAGGGAATGACACATTTGGTGCTTAATGTCATTCTATTAGAATGATTTCCCATGCAAACAAAGCCAGGGTTAGAATTCCACTGGGTTGGGGGTATTAACCCTAGCACCTCACAGATCATGGTGTCCTAAAAGGAAGGTGTTTCATTACCTGCCCTTTTCCCTTGAGAGAAGGAAGAGGAGGAAGGCAGCCAAAGGGCTCTGAAGACTAAGGCAGGTCGGAGGCAGAGTGAGCAGTGCTGGAATGGAGCTTTTCTGCTGTGAACCTGAGAGATGACAGCCCCTCATCCTGACTCTCACGGCTGGAAGGCAGTGGTACATGAGCAGAGGTCAGCCTTCTCAGGGACCGAACAGCCCCCTCCTTCTCCACCAGAGGAGGTGGGTAAAGCCCGTTGACCTGCCATGAACAGACCTGCCTCACACCATGTGTGCGCTAAGTAGTGTAACAAAATGAAAACAGCACTGGCATATTGTTTTTAGCCAAAAGAGGCGGTGTGTGCTGCTTAGGCTGTAACTGATCCAGAACAGATCCGGACTCCTCTTTTCAGTTCCTGGGCTGATGTGAGACAGGGTGGTGGGTGGAAACATGGGTCCCTCCACCTTCCTGAAAACAGATGCTCCCTGCCTGGAGCCGAGGGTCACTCACAGGGCCAGCCTCTGCCAGTGCTGCTGCTGGCCTGGCTTCTGCGGTCCAGTTTGTCCCGTATCTCCACCCATGTTTCACGGTAAAGACTGTTTAGAGCTAATCCATGAAGCAGAAGTTGTCTCCACACTCTTATTTTTTAGTTTTCATTATCCACAGAGGAATCCTCCTAACTCTGTTCCAGCCAGGGGTGAGAATTTACCTCTGAGGGCCAGTTTTGCTCCCAATCACCAACCAGCTCAGCCTACTTACCACCTGTGCCTTCTTTTATGGTGCTTCTCAATTGGTGATGATTTTGGACCCCCGGGAGCATTTGGCAAGGTCTGTGACATTTTTGGTGTCACAACTGGTGCATGTGGCATGCCTGGTACTCAGTGGTTAGATCCCAGGGTGTTCCTATAATATAGAAGATAGCCCCACCACAAAGACCCTACAGGTCCAAATGTTAATCATGCCACTGCTGCAGATCATCTGTGAGGTGAGGTGAGTCAGTGAAGTGGGATGCACAAATCAGGAGGAAAATGAGAGGCCTTATTCTCCTGCTGCTTAGGAAAGAAGGGGTTGGAGGATGAGTTCATACCTGGGGTCACTGTCTAGGATGAGGCTGTAACACATTGGATCTTGGGGGAAACGACTTTGGTGCCAGAGGAGTTTCTACAGGACTCATAGGAGCATCCCTGCCACAAAGACTGATGTGTCACTCCGGTGAGTTCCTAACAGACCCCATGTACCATGTGTCTGCACACTGCATCCCAAAGAGCCTTCTGCCAGTGCACTGCCACAGATGTGACGCTTGTAGAACACATGCTGTCAAGTGTGCTTTGTGGCTGTGCTACCTGAGTTTACTCAGCAAGAATAGGGACAGTGACTGTTGCCTGGCTACCTCCAGCACCAGTCCAGGCTCAGACGGCAGCCTCATGTTGGCCCTGCAGCAAGCTCTCCCTGTGTGCTCCATTCCTCTCTGGGACCCTCAACCCCCATGAACTGGCTCCTTGGCCACTTATATGACTTTTGGCTACAGTTCCACAATTCCTCCAACAAAACAAAGGTCCAAATGACCAGCCGCCCCTCTGGGCAACCATAAGTGAGGCAGAGAGAGAACAAGGCTTCTCATTTTCCTGCTGATCTGTGGATTCCATTTGACTGATTCATCTCATCTCATAGACCTTACACAAGATATACAATTATTATATTATTTTCTTCATATAAGAAGAAACAGGCCAGAAAAAGTTTTGAGAAAAAAGTGGGTTTGATGGGTGAAAACAATACTCAGAATCTTACACCACAGTGGAGAAACTTGGGAACAAACCCACTGCCAGAGCCATTTATCCTGAAGCGGCTCCTTTCACCAGCGGATCCTTTAAGGCTACAGTGCACCTGCCACAGTGAAAGTGCTAGGACCCCCTACACACACACACTACCACCACCTCCAGCAATGTCCTCATATTTAAAGTGGTGTCAGCCTCCAGCAATGTCCTCACATTTAAAGTGGTGCACACGCTGTGCACTACCCTGCCTAGGCAGATGTCAACATTGTTTACATGTTTTCTCTGTGAAGGAATTTGGCTCTAATACCAAGACACCTCATTTCATGCTGGCACTCTCCTACCCAGGGAAGAACACTCTGGAAGAAGGAAGCCCTGGTGTCCCTCACATGGCTCCAGGGCACCTGGGTTCCTCCCAAGCAGGTACCACACTAGAAGGCAGCATGTGGGCCAGCAGAGCGGAGGGATGGAGCAGGACGCTCCCAACCCCAGCTGACTCTGACATTGGTCTCATGTCCTTTTATCACCTATTTCTCTCCATGTTCAATACATCCAAGATATTTAGAGGCTTGGTGAGGGCTTGCAAAGAATCACTACTTGAAGGGACTGACTGTAGAAATGTGGTCTGAGGTAAGTGTGGGTGAGGGGTGGGGGAAATTCTGAATACATTCCAGTGTCCAGCATTCATCTTGTTCTGTGGATCAATGCTTACCACCTGAGAGACACCGCAGAAGTGCCCGAGCGACCTGGGCACTTAAGGTTCAGGGTGACAACCTCTCCCATGAGAAAAGTGCCAGGCCAGCCGGGCTACATGAGGTGCCACTCCAGAGGGTTAAATGTCCCTGAGCTTAGACCACACTGGGCTACAGACATCAGGCACCCTTGGCAGCTTTTGTTAACACAAGTCAGCACAGAACATAGCAACAAGCAAGCATAGGTTGCAGGTAGGAGATAGTGGACACCCTGTAGAATCCATGGGAGAAAGACCCACACAGAGCTAGAGGGGGGGAAGGAAGATGGAGACAGCTGCTGGGAGATGTGACAGGGCTGGGCCTATCTGCACAGTGTGCCCTGCACGGATGGCTTCTCTGCATTCCAGAGGCTCCAACCACAACATCAGACCAGTAACAAACAGAGCCTATCTTGTCATCTCTAGTGGCCTGAGAGGGGTGAATGCCCCAACTCTGCCCACTCACATTAATGCTCTGCTCAGTACCCACTGAGTACTCAGTAAATGCTGCTATTGTTTTTTTTGTTTTGTTTTCACCCAGCAATCATCTGGGCTACATAGGCTCCGAATATAAACTAACCATGTTTGTACTGCAGAATTTCATAGAATCAATGCAAAGAAATATTGGCTAAAGCATTCTGCAAAGTGAGCTCAAGGCCAGCCTGAACTGCACAGTGAGACCCTGTCTCAAAAAAAAAAAAAAAAAAAAAGACCAAGAAAAAAAAATTCAGTGTGAAATAATAATCATCACCAAAGGAGAAATAGCTAAAATGCAAGATCTGATGAAGATCTTGTTTCTCTAAAGCATATTTGGCCTTATGACATAATACTCAAGAATTTCTGCACTTAGAGGCTCGATATCAGGAGGACCTCCTGCAGGCATCCAATGCAAGATGCTTCCTAAAGCCAGTGAGGATCAGGGCTAGACTGATTTCAGGAGATTCAGTCACTTGTCAGCTTGTTCTAAATCACCAGACTTCCAGACCAAGGTCCAGAGGCTCTCTGTTAGTGGTTTGGGAAAAGGCTGGGGGTCTATGGTCTGATCAATCTCCTCAGTGGTTCTGAGGACACAGGAAAACCCAGGCGCCCCCTAAGACATCAGGATACTTTAGCGAAGCAAGAGATCTGGCATGTGGAGTGAAGGCCAGGGTGTTTCCCCACTGCATTAGAATGTAAGGTCCCATAAAGCTGGTAATCTTTTAGGCTAGTTTTCTTTTTTCACAGTGCTAGGGATGGAACCCAGGGCCTCACACATGCTACGTCCCAAGCCTTATGTCTTCCTCCTAGCTTTAAACTCAGCTATTTCCCCTATGTTACAACACTTATCTTGATAACCTTGTCAGTCAGGATCTTGCTTATTCTACTTCTCCTCTAGCTTCTGATTACCAAGTTTCCAACCCCAGTCTGAGAAGTGGACCTAGATCTCTGTTGCAGGATGATCTACTATGACAGCTCGTCTACCACAGAAGTTTAGTAAGAGAAGCAAAGATGATGGCTGGGTCTCTGAAGAGCATGTCTTTCCTCTCCAAAGTCCACCGTGGCTGTGAGGAGCTACAGAGGCAGTGACCTCCAGCCACCTCAGTGACTTCCTCCCTTAGGGAAACGCGCGGGCTTGGCAGAAAATATTTACGCATAGCTTGTTTTACTGTCACTTTTCAAGATCAAATTTGCCTTGAAATCTTCAGCCTTGTTTACCTCAAGAGTCATCAAATTCTCTTCTGCCAATACAGGAGCCTGCTGTGCTGTAAAGTGCAGCTGCAGTTTCCTGATCTTTATCTCTATAAGGAGAGCTTGGGCAGGACCCACCTCACACCTTTCCTGCACATGAAGACAAGTCAAGGCACCTCAGCCTACAGGTCAGTGAACTTGACTTCCTGTGGAAACTTCCCATTACAGTCACACGGCTCTGGTCAGTGGGAGACGTAGCCCTTTGCAGAAATTATATCCCAGACCTTGGGTTTAAAATTATCAGTGTTTGCTGGTACATCTGTATGAACCCATTGCATCACTATAATATGCCAACATTTTATTTTATTTTAAGACTTTTTATCTAACTGTATTCTTTTACCACTTGCATTCAGCATATCATTTGAGACGACTGTCTACTTACTCATTCTCTCTAGTTTCACAGGCATATATTTTTCTTTCTTGGAGGCTGTCCATTAAAGCCCTGTCACTTTTGCAAAGTCAAAACATTTCCCCAACAAATCAGTCAAGGGAAGCAGTTTGTGATGTATACCAGGTGCTGTGTAAGAACTATGGGGGTGGGGTGGGGTCAGTGCTCCAAGTAACCTGGACGCTAACATGGAATATGGAGAATGACTTGATGGATCTCATAAAGCACACCTGGGGCACACTCCTGATTTAAAAATTATACAAGGGTAGAGTCCACATAAGAGTTCACACACATTCACATACAGGCACACGTGCACACCCAGATTATGAGCCTCTCTTTGAACGTGGATATAATTACAGTAGGTTCAATATTAGCAAACTGAGTCCATCACTGTGTTAACAGAATAATATGTCCTAGGGGCTGGGGATTTAGCTCAATGGCACAGCGCCTGCCTGGCAAGCATGAGGTTGTGAGTTTGATTCCCGGTACCGGAAAAAAAAAAGAAAAAAAGTCCTGATCAAGTAAAGCATGTTTCAGAACTGCAAAGATGTTTCAACACGAGAAAATGTATTAATTTAATGATTCACTGTATTAACATATTGCAGGAGATTACTGTCTGAGCATATGCCCCCAAATTCTAAAAGCAATCAATATCCTTTCCTAATGAAGAATAGGAAGAGATGAAAGGTCATGGTAAAAATGGACAAATAGAAACCTAAACTAAACTTCAGTTTTACTGCTAACATATTAGATTTCTTCCCACTTATGTTTAGATTAAAGAAAGGATGTGGCAGGGCAGATGTCCATGTCTTACACCCTGGGCCCTATGACTAGGCGGTTAAATTGAGAACCTTGAGTCAAGGAGTGACCATGAGGGTCCTACAAGAGGAACAGGGAGGCCACAGAAGTGGTGCTTGCAGCAGAGGGTTTGGAGGTCGTACTCTGGGGCTTTTGAGGATGAGGGAAGGCCCAGGGGTAGAGCAGCCTCCATTATGCCAACAAACAGTGTTGGCAATGAAACTGCTTGAAACAAAGAAAATCCCATCAAAACAAGGTTACCAAAGCAGCTGAGAAGCACGGTGCTTCCTGAAGGACAAAGATACAAGGCAGACCAAGCAAGAGGGCTGGGTTAGAGATATCCCGAAATCATGCACAGGGACTGGACTGAAGAAGTATGTGAAAGTGTCACACACAGGACCTGAAAAATATTTGTATTGTTTGCAATTTGTATGAAAATCTGAAATTTATAAAACACTTCACATCAATCAGAGAATTGGTCGCATTGTTTTAACCACGTCCCCAGGCGCTATGGGTATCTGAAGTCTCCCTCTCTGGTTTCAAGTGCAAGGGAGGCCCTTCACAGGCATTGTCCCTATGGATTGATAAGCTTGCCCAGGGGCCCCTTCCTAGTGTTTCCTGAAGCCAACAAGTGAGTGTTCTGGTAGACTCTCAGCATCATCAAATGTGGTCCCAGAAGGCCACAGGGATCGCTTGGGTCCAGGCTGAGGCTAAGCCAAATAGGAGGAAAAGGAGATGTAGGAAGCCAGTTCATGCTTCCCCAGGGCATTTGCTTACAAATGTTAAGGGTCAGGCATTTGGCATCTCTCAATCCTGAAGAAAATCACTCTCAGACATGGGAGTTGAAAGCACAGCTAGTGTCACAAATCTAACTACTCTCAATTCTTGTCTTTCCTCCTTGTGACCAGGCCAAGGCTCCAGAAACAACTAGAAAGTGCTCACTCCAAAACACACAACTCATGGCCAGGCAACAGTGATGGCTCATAGCGTGCCCACAGGAAAGACATGGAAACACATCCCAGCAAGTCTCCTTGGACTTGCTTACGTGGGGCCTTCAAGCAAACAGATAGGTAAGGCTTTTGACAAGCTTATCATCAAGTCACTAGCAAAACTCACTTGAGTCAAGCATCAAAAGAGCCTCTTCTGCAGAGGACCATATCTGCAGAAATACTTCAGAAAGCCCAGGTAGAGGAGAAACTGGAAGGGGAAGGGAAACTGGGCCCCTTTCTTTTTTAAGCTCCCTTGTTCTGCATGGTGCTCAACCTGTATAGAAGGCACATGGGAGCTTGAAAAGTATTGCAATGCATGGCCTTATGCACAAAACTTCTGGAGGAACTGGCCCAGTCTGAGGGAAGCCCTGGGCATCAGGCTGTACTGAGGCCCCACAGGAGATTTCATGAGCATCGTGGGATGAGGATCAAACATCAAGGTGATTTCAATGGTCAGGCACAGTTCAGCCTGCTGGTCCAAAGTACTAAGTCTCAAAGATGTTGCTGTAACATCTGATTTGGGTGATTTGAAGGTGATAGATGGAATTGGCCAGAGCACTGGGGCTGGAACTGTAGGAGCAGCCAGGGGACAGTGGAACATGAGCACCACTTTTTGAAGGATACTGTGTGGTTGATGGGTAAATGGAGAGAGTTTAGGCTTGTTTGCTTTCTTTATGAAAAGAGATTTAAGTTATTTATGCATAGAGTAGAGAAGTCTGCATAAAGACAGTGAGTATCAACCTTTCAAAAGCCCCACAGGGACAAGGCAAAGGAGGGTCCAGTCCAAGGCACACAGGGGAGGGTTTTCCTTCATGAGGAAAAATAGGGAAGTAACATTTGCTGAGTATCGAATTTGCTGGGCAGCAGGCCAAGCATGTCATATGCATGATTTCCTTGATCCTTCTCCACAAACCTCAAAGACCTTTATGATACAGAAGGCCCTATACCCAGAATTCCTAGGTCTCCACTACCTATATTGATGATATTTCCCAATCTAATACTCCTAAAGATCACAGTGATCTAGCAAACAACCAGCAAACCAGATTTATTGTAGCAACAACCAGATTTATTGTGGAAAGAAGTACAGCATGTGAAAGAAGTCTAAGCAGCTCAGCTTTAAAGAACACAATTAGCAAAATCCGCCCAAATGTAAATGATGGCTGTCTGACCACTCTGACATGTCCCCCTTCCCCAGGTACCTCATGGCCATATTGTGTGCTGCAGTCCCCAGAGCTCTCCTCCCCAGGATGCACAGGGCAAAAGACAGAGTCACCAAAGGAGAGTCTTCGTCACTGTCCAGGGTCTTTGATGGCTGAAAGAGCAAGGACATGAGCTCAACTTCCACCTACACTCCCTGGGAACTGACATGGCATCACAAGTGTGGAGCCAGAGGAGGCCTGTGAGGGGCCGCTGTGGTCATCAGTCCCCTTTGAAATGGCCCTGGGGTGGGAACTCTGCTTCTGGAAGTAGTTTCTCTTGTGATTGGACATGGGAGAAAATGGGAAAACTGATTTGAGAGAAAAGGAGCTAAAATGGGGCCGATGAGCTAATTCTCTGAGATTTCAAATATGATTCTTCAGACCATGAAGAACAGCCAAAGGATGCCCACCTCGGCAGTTTCCTTCACGAAGCAGCACAGCTTGAGATTCCAGAGCACATGGGGGCTTTCTCTTTTCCCCATGGGGAGGAGCCCTTTGGATTGACAATAAATCTACAATCAACAACTAAGTTAAAAGAGTATAGTCAACTGAAAAAGGGGATGCAGAAGAAATTTCAAGTCAAAGTATGTTTTGCAAGGAAAACAATAATTTCATCAACCAACACTGGAGAATGAAATCATCACTGGACAGCCACCTGTGTCAGTGGATGCCGTGCCTGGCTTCACCACCTGAAGTGGCCCCTCCTGAGCTAAAGGTCTCTCCACATTCCTCCTGGTTGTCTGGAGACAGCAGGTTCTACCATGTGTTTTGCTACCACCTGGTTTCAGTCACACATAACCGATCCAGAGCCTGGGTTTGTGCAAGTTCTGCTGATTTCCCACTCTACGTGTTTCACTGCCCGCTAAAGAAGCTGCTTCCAGCTCAGACCCACTTTCTCCACCAACACCCAAGGGCTTAGCCTTTCATATCCCAGGAGGCGCAGCGAGCTGACTTCCCTCTGTGCTTTCTCCATCTCCTTCTCCACTGCCTCCTCTCTTCCTTTTGGAAGTGCCATTGTTCTGGGCTCCATTTCTAAGATGAAGTTAACCTCCAGAGGTGTCTTCTGCATGGGGACAAAACTGGTACAGGGAAATAACACCTACTGAAGGGACCTGGCCCATCTAAATGCAAAACAGTCTTGGCATATGCATGGTTCAGTGGCTCAGTAAGTCTTCCCAGCCCAAGAATGCAACCCCAGCAGTCTTAAAATGTGATTTTAAACAGTTTTCCAGTGTCCTGATGCTTAGAACCACACTGACCCTGTGCACAGTTTAAAAGGACACATACCTTCACAGCTCCTTCCCTTGGAGAAAAGCTATATTAATTATTCCACTAATTTTGCTTAACCGTTAAACACTCATCTGGATACCAACTTTTTTCTCCCCTATTTCATTATATTCTGCCCTGGAGTATAAGAAGAGACAGACGGTTAACAATCCTCGCTTTTTACTCTTGTGCTCAATATCGCTGCCCCAGCTACCTCTTTCGCTCCTACCTCCTGCCTCTTCCCCGCACAGTACTGAATCCACTCCAGGTAGACGTTGCAGTAGCTGGCTCGGGTTATCCCCTGCAGACACGGCACGTAGTCGTCATCGATATTGATGTTGAACATTGCAAGGTCGCGCTCAATGTGATGCCACTTGGCAAAGGGCTGCAGGGACTTTAGAAGTGACTCATTCTTGACCCAGGAGAGGAGTTTAGGGGATGTCACCATGTAGTATATTATACTCTGCAGAGAGAATGTGAGATTTTGAGCTCTTAGAGCCATTCCAAAGCTAGGCATGTTTTTCTGTTTTTTGTTTTTTGTTTTTTGTTTTTTTTTAAATTCATTTGATACCAGGAAGTAAATCAATCTAAGGTCAGCATGAGACATGAACCCCCCATGGAGGGTCATTTGCACTCCTGCCGGGTCTGATGCATGGGATCGACCTAAGACTTTCCAAGCTGTCCTCTCTCAAGGGCCACTGGAGAAAAAAGTGAGAAGAACTAAATGCAAACAGAACCTCAGGATTTTAGTGGTGAGAAAGGGTCACAGCAGCCCTGCCTTCCAAGAGCCATGCAAGAAACACCTTTGGCCAGGGTCTCTGCAGGCCCCCGAGGATGCCAAATGAGGCCAGTTTTGAGGAAAGGAAGCAGCCAACCCTCTCCCAGCCAGCGCCAGGCTGGAGCATTCAATGCACTGACAAAACTTAGTGTTTGTGAAAAGTCGTAGTAGCACAGTACTCTCTTCATCCTGATGCACAGGCAGCAGACACCTGTGGTGTGTTTGGAAACAGCCCATATAAGCTGGGCGTGGTGGTGCACACCTGCAATGCTGGCACTCTGTGAGGCCGAAGCAGGAGGACTGCAAGTTTGAAGCAAACCTGGGCAATTTGGCAGCTTAGTAAGACCCTATCTCAACATAAAAAAAAAAATAAATAAAATAAAAAGGGCTGGAGATGTAGCTCAGTGCAAAGGCTCTGGGTATTTATAGGTCCCACTTGAGGGAAATGCCACCCTCAGACTCTGTTATTCTGAGCCTCAGCTTTCTTGAAAGTCATTTCACAGTTTTTCAATGAATTTATCCTTTAAAAAGGCTACTACTTAATGTGAAGAAGTAAAACTGTGACAGAGAAAATTAAAATCCAGACCCAAAATGGATACGCAGGCAGGGGTGTGCTGCTGAGGAGTCCCATCTGACAGTTGCTGGATCTTCATGACAGCAGAACAATGGACATGGTGCCCAGGGTTGTTGACACTAAGGGGACTCTGGGAGATGGCTGCATGTCTCATCTTGCAATCATGAGACACACGGGGGCACAGCAGTTGCAGAGAGAACCAGGCCATTTAGAGGTCCTTCTCTGTTATCACACACATTCTTTCCAAGGGAGAAACAGGAGGTAGTGACATGGGGGGGAGACAAAGGCCCCAAAGCAGTGGGCACAGAGGCCCCTCTCTAGGAAGACTCCTGCCTCCTCTCCTATATTTCCTTCCCCCTGGCTGAGAAATGGTACCCAGGGACACAAATCGCAAGGAGCCCAGATGTCTGGCATCAAGTCCCCAGGAGGCTAAGCAGATAAACGGGCAGCAATATATGCAGCTAACTAACCTCAAATGCCTGATTTGGCCTCTCTGCTGTTAGGACTGAGGGCGCTTTGGACTTGGGGCAGGCTTATCTATGGTTCCTGGCAGGTGCCCTGCCTTATTTGGGGCATAATTTCTATTAGGCTCCACAGTCTCACCACCCCCAAAAGTGAGGAAGTCTCACCGCCCCCAAAAGTGAGAAGAGATGGAGTCTGTGGACAAACACTGGCATTCAGGAGTCTGGCTGTGGCAACACTGTGCCTCAGGATGGCCATGCTGGCCCGAGAAATCCTTCAGTGTGAGGCAGAGGTGCAGCAGGAGGGCTGCAGGCAGAGGAAAAGGCAGTTGAAACTTGGAGGGGCAGACAGACGTGCTGGTGAGACCCACCGCTCACTGCTTTCCTGAGGTTTGAAGTGAGATCGTGCACATGAAGGATTCCACGTGGTCGAGCACAGGTCACACAGGAGAGAAACAGCAGAAACGGGTGGACAGGTGTGACTTACCTGCCCAGAAAGCAGGCCGAGCGTGGGGTCAGGGAGCAGGCAGGGTAGCAGCAGCAGCAGCAGCAGCAGCAGCAGCAGCAGCAGCAGCAGCAGCAGCATAGGAGAGGCTGAAGCACAAGGCGAGGGACATGGGTGGCAGTAGGGGACAGGAGACAGCTGTGCACATCTGGTATTCAAAAACAAAAACTCTAAATCTGGAAAGTTTTCTCTTCTTTACTTGCTAGCTGGGTGACACAAAGCACCTACAAGGTGGACAGTTTAAGTAGTTGGCCCAAAATTACAAGGAAAAGAGGCTACAATGTTTCCCCTAATCAAATTTCACATTCCATGGGTGGAGTTACCCAAGGTCAACCAAGTCCTAAAATAGTAAATGGAAAATTCCAGAAATGAACACTTCATGCATAAGTTTTAAATTGCACGCTGCTGTTATGAGTAGCAGCATTAGTAGCACAGTAAAATCTTGTGTTATCCTGCTCTTGGAATGTGAATCACCCCTTGTCCAGTGGAGCCACACCACATCCCCCAGCCCAATTCTCACTGCGTAGCCAAGTCAGTCATCAGATTGATTACAGTGGGCACCACGGGGCTTGTACTCAAGTGACCCTTATGGTACCTAATGATGGCCCCAAAAGAGCAAGACTGATGCTGGCAATTAGCCATGGCAAAGAGAAGCCCTAAAATGCTGCCTTTAAGTAAAAAGGTGAAAGTTCCCCACTGAAGAGAAGAAAATGACAAGCTGAGATTACTAAGATCTATAGGACAATGGCCTAATAGGGTGGGAGAGCCCATTCACACAACTTTTATTACAGGATATTGTTATAATTGTTCTATTTTATTATGAGTTGAAACTTGTTGGCTGGGTGACCTAATTAACTTATTGTGCATTTGCAAATTAAACTTTATCATAGGTATGTATGTACAAGGGTTTGGGACTATCTGTGGCTTCAGTCATCCCCAGGGGAGCTTGGGGTGCCCTCCCTGTGGGTAGGGGGATGATAACAATGCTGTCCAGGCTTTGCACTGTGGCCACAGGCTCAACTTCTCGACTGATCATTACAAAGAGAAAAAACATTGGCTTCTCTGAACATCTGGCTTTAGCAAACATCTGGTCTAATTTTTCCCAATATGTCCTAATCCTGTACTAGGTAAGAATAACAAACAAAAATTTTAAAAAATCAAAGTTTGCTATTTTACTCCTTTCTGAGGCATAGAAACTGACTCTATAAGGGATGAAGTCAGAATAGTTAATGAAGACTTTGAATCCCAGAGGCTAACATGCCCTCCTTGTGGCCTGCCAGAATCCAGCACCACCGACTACAAAATACGATTAGGCTCATTTCCATCTCTGCTTTACCTAGGCAGAAATTCTCGTGACATCATCAGTAAACCCTGTGAAATCCTCCAGCATCTTTTGGGATGAAGTGGACAGCAGCTTAGGCCAACCTGGAAAGTCAGGTGGTGACAGTGAGTGACTGCATAAAGCTGGCCTGTGTTGGAAGAGGAACCTCCAGGACAGACCCACAGTATGTGTCCTGAGGCCGGCTCCTGGCTTCTCAGTGTGACTGCAGGCTGTGTATCCCACCAGATACAGCATTATGGGAGAGGCCCTTGCTGGGGTGCAGCACGGTGGGGTACACCTCCAGTGCACAGTGGCGAGCACTAAGGCATTTGACATGGTGGCAGCCACATACAGGCCAGGCCTCACAGAAAGCTTTCTTAATTCTAGGAGGAGTTCAAGCACTAATAAGGGGAGGGAAAGTTGGAGCCCACACAAGGGAAACTGTCAGTTATTGGGAAGGAAATGATTTTAAATATATTCATAGAGGGTGAGGAAAGTGATCCAGTTCATTAGAAAATTTTTTAAAAATCCTGTTGTGTAAAGAAATCATTTCAAAATTTCTTTCCATTTCTTGCCTATCCAATAGGAAAATCATAAAAAGATTTAGACCAAACTCTTGAAGCCTGAAGTAATACTGAGTTACAAGGCAGCAGTTTGCTCACCACGCAATCCAAACCAAAAAACAAAGAATTTACTTATTTTCACCCCAGTACTGCTGTTTCTGCTCCATTGTCCTGTCCGCGCCCTGCGGTTTCCTTCAACCCTCCCTTATTGGGGAGGAAGGCATATTCTGAGCTAGAAAGGCAGAAGGGTTCTAAGTGTATTCAGAGGCCTGACCAGGCCAAGAGGAGTGAAGAAGGGCCTGACTTGGCATTAATTTGAGCGCACATGCTTGTAGTGGTTACCAAGCCTAGAAGGGTATCAAACCACTTAGAAAGCTTACTAAACAGTGGTCAGTTCTTGGGCACACCCCAGGCTGATGGCCTCAGCACTGCTTAGTAGGACACATGACTTTGCAGTCACCTCACTTGCTGGGAGACCTGGTGATATGATCCTCCCTGGATCAGAGAAGTGGGATGCCTCTTCCTTCCCAGGTGAGAACCTGTCCTCACTCCCTTTTCTTAGGAGAGTCAAAGGCCTGGTTTCCTTATAAGCCCAGCACCTCCCTCTGCCCTCTTTTATTTGTGCGGCATCCTGGATTTGTTTGCCAGATTTCAACTTGTCATCTTAGAGGACCCACAGGGGTTAGGAAGCACATTCAGGAGTTAGCAGGGGCGGGGCAGGTGAGCAGAGACCACAAGTCGGGGGGGGGGGCGGGGAAGGAAGCATGGAGCTCCCGGCCTCTTGAAAGTCTGAGTATCCCTTTTCTCTCACCCATGGTGACCTGCTGGCCTCACAGTATGGGGTCAGAGCTGTCCACATGTATGGCTCCTGCAAAGGTCACTTGGGGGGCATTCCAGAGTCAGGGACAGAGCACAGAGGTGAACCCTGCTTTCACTCCCGTGTCTACTACAGGCCTCCCACAGCTTTGCCTGGACCTAGCTTTCTTCTGTCCAGACTGCATGGCCTGGCCTCTGAATCCACGTTGCCTAGAACCTGTGTTCACACCGACTGAAACAGCCTTGGGAGCATCGATATGCGGTGCCCCCCAGAGCTCTGGGGAACACAGAGGAGGCAGGTGTGGCTGGTCTCTCAGGAAGGTCACAGAGGATGAGGGAGGGGAGAGGTGGGGAGGAAGGGGAGTGACAGCCAGGCATGGTCCCAGGCGGCTGGGAGGAAGGGCTGCCATGTGAGCCAAGGCTGGAGAGCAGCCGTGGGACACAGAACGGTCCCCATGGTGGGTGGTGGAGAGAGGTGTGCTCCACATGCACACACAGCAAGAGAGGTCGGAGGAGCTGGAAACAGCGGCAGCAGCAGCAGAGGTCTCTACAAGGCAGGTGAAAGTCTGTTCCTCAGGCAGCACGGAGAAGATCAAATCCAAGACTCATCCGTTTAGCCTGTGAGGCACCACACCTGACCTAACGGCCTCTTCTTGGCCATTTGCTTCATAAGCCTGCAGGTCCCCTTGACCGATCATCTTCTGGACCCAGCCCTTCCCACAACCACCTCACCTTTCTGCCTCATGAGACCTGGGGGTGATTCACAAGGGGAAATTTTCTCCTTGATAGAAAATTACAGAGAGAGCTGGTGGTCACTTGTCACTTGTTTCCTCCTTTTCCATAAACATGTAATCCTCAAAATACACTTTCCAGACCCCTCCCACCTGGCATAAGGCAGCATTCTAGCAACAGGACTCAGCAGGAGCATCCTGTGGCAAGTTCCAGGTGGCCTGTGCCCTTGGCCTTTTCTCTGAGGCAGGAGGAAGAGGAAGTCCCTGGGGTGGGGACAGAAAGGCAGAGGACGAAAGAGGAAGCCAGCTCTCCAAACTGCAGGCGGTGTCCAGTTCTAATTACTTTCTAATGACTTTCCTGCACACCTGGTAAAGACAAGGGACGTGTGCACTACGTGCTTCGGGGATGGGGCAAGATAGCTTTCCAAGACCATGGAGAGCGTCTAGTTCTCACAACTAGGTCACACCTGGTAAAAACAAGGCGATGATTGGGCTGTAGGCCACACTGAGCACCCCAAAATGACCCCAAATTAATCATAATCTTATTTGCATTGTGGTTTGGACAGTCAGTGACCTTTGGGAACCATGACAGTTCCACAAGGGTCCAATAAAGACAAAAACTCCCCCCACCTCCAACAGAAAGATTTGGTCCTGATTGAAATAACTCGCCACCTCAGTTCAAAGAGTTGCCCCCTTCCTGCTAAAACCACACGCAGGCACCGGTACCCACCTTCTTCCGGGCCGTGAGCTTTCTCTCACTGGCCCACTTCCATCCTGAGGAGTGTGCTTTCACTTTAATAAACCTGTGCTGCTGCCCCTTTCTCTGTGTGTCCTGTTCAATCCTTGGTCAGAATACTAAGAACCTGGAAATTTTTCAGGCCTCCACTCTCCAGTAACTCTTCCTTCTTTTAAGCCTGCTCCTGAAGTCTGGGAACATGCAGTCGGGGTACACCTGAAAGGTGGAGAAGGGAGCTGGCAAGACTAGGGGTTGCTGAGAACCTCACGGGTTCTAGCCTAGCCTCTATCTGTAAGAAAAATCTACTTTTAACGCGTGTGTGGCTGCTGCCAAATCTAACACCAGTGGGTGACCCGAGTGTGCCTAAAGTTGACACTATGAGTGAGAAGTGTGTGTGTTCTCATCTCTGAGGACCTGGGGAAACAGCCATGGAATCAAAGGCAGTAGGTCAGTACCTCCTATTTACATAAGACTGGACAGGACATTCCTAGCTCTGAGTGAGATTTGGATATACAGCTCTCCTCTCACCAGCACACACACTCTGGTGCGGAGTAGCGGGCTGATTGCTAAATCCTTTGCAAATCCTCAGAACAGGGTCCTGAAAATACCCAGGGTTCAGTAGGGAAGAGCTACTGACCATCCTGACTGCCACAGTCTGCTTTCCATCACCACTGGACTTGAGCAACCTCAGCGGACACAGGGAGCAGCTATTCCAAACATCCAAATCTCCTGCTCTGTGCCCAGCTGAAACATTAGGTCCTCCTGTTTCCTTCTCATTCTGTATTTCCTCATCTCTGCCACATGCCCTGTGCCCCCTCAGCTGGCAGGCAGTTTTGTGGTCTCCAATGGACATGCTTCTTTTGGGTCTGCATTAAATATGGCGCCGTCTGTGGCCCATCCAGGGCTCTCTCCATATCTGTCCTCCCCCAGGAGGGACCCATCATGGAGACTTGGCATAGTGCCCTCACCTGGCCCTGCCCCTTCAGAGAACACCTCACACTTAACCAGCTCCCTGCACTGCAGGCTGGGTGCCACACTCCAAACTGCACATTTCCTGAGCGACTGAGAAAAGATATGATTAGTCTCCACATGCATGAGAAGAAAAAGCCATAAGACCTAATCCTCACCAGATTACTTAGCTATATTTCTGAGTTTTTGTCACAAGTTTAAACAATTATTCTAGTTCTAAAGTGGACAGTTTGTAGGGCATCTAAGGTGACCCAGTTTAACTCTAACATCGAGGTTTGTGAACTTCCTATATTTAACTTTACCATCACCATTATTACCAGTACCTTGCCTTGGATGGAAGTGAAAACAGGCCACCTGCTATGCTAAGCTTGGGAACACAAGGCAGGACACACGCCTGAGGCTAACACAAAGCCCTGGTGGGTTTTTCATGAGGACAGTGGTTGTCAAATCCAGCTGGATCTCCAATTCAGAAGCTGGAAGAAATCCAAGCACCTGGCTTCCTACAAACTCTTAGGACCTGCCCTTGTCCACCCAGAATGATTCCTCAGACAATGTTTGCGGGCTCAGTGGTACCTTGACGTAGTATCGGATGAGGATCCTGCGGAGGTCAAACACCTGCAGCATGGTGGCTGCATTGTTGTCGATGATGCTGTAGCCCTCCAGGATGTACTGTGTGCGTGTGACCTCCCAGGTGAGCCAGCGGAGGTGAAAGGCAGCATTGCAGGACAGCAAGTGGGGCAGGTGGCCGGGCTGGCAGCAGCAGCAGCCTCTGTCTTCCTCGTCGCCTTCCATGATGGCTTCCACTTCCCTCTGCTGGCAGTAGGTTCCTGGCCGAGCACAACAAGATAGCAGTTAGAAGAGAGGTCATGCTACAGCTGTCTCTTGCAATGATTTCACATGGCCTTCATTGGGGGGTGATGGAGGAGACAGTCCAGGAAGGAAGAGATGTGTTTAGTCTTAGTTCCAAGTGTTTCCCACAGTCACAATTCTCATCACCTTCTATTCATTCACAATGATTCTGATTCTCATGTGCTACCCACATTTCGTATTCCAAAGGCATGTGCTCAAGGTAGTCATGGATGACAAGGTGAAATGAAAGATGGTGGCAGCCATGACCTGTAGGTCATAACTGAGCAGGTACAATGTTAATGGGGTGGTGGCAGGTGGAGATGCGTGAGAGCAGCCAAGTGTGTGCTGTGCACCTGATGCTCATTGTGGGATCAGGATGGGGCACGGGGTGGGTACATTCCAGGGCCTTCACTCCAGAAGCAAGAGAAGGTAGTGGGTATGAACAGCCTTTGGAAATGGAACACCATACCTCTTTCAATATTTTCATCAAAGACTTAAAAGGAAACAGACCAGATGCTCATGACAGGGGGTTATTGCTATGGCCTTGAAGGCAGACCTGTGATCTAAAATGATCTTAGTAGGCAGAATCTAAAATTTGCCAGGAATAAAAGGAAAACCCTGCACACACTTAAAAAATCAACCATACAATTTATTAATATGTAGTACTAATATATAGTACTGCATTTGACAAAAACTCAGATAATTTTATGGACTTTTTGTCTCTCAGTACTTCGGATTGGACTCAGGGTCTTTACACTGAGCTGTATCCTCAGTCCTTTTTTATTTTGAGAGACAGTCTCCTTAAGTTGACCAGATAGGGTTTGAACTTGCGATCTTCCTTCCTCAGCCTCCCAGAGTTCTGGGATGATGTTGTGTACCACTGCACCCAGCTTAATTTCACTGATTGTATGAACCCAAAGTATGAGAGTGAAGAACCACGTAGAATACAAAGAGCATCAAAACAAAATGCAGTTTTGGTCAGGATACAGCTGGGACTGTTCCCCTGGCCACTACCCACAAAGCATCACTGATGGTTCAAAATAAAGCCAGATGATCTAGCTTGCACTTTCTAAATCTTCCCTCCATTAGCAAGTGGATTAGTGCTCATTTGAATGTGATTATAAAGACTATTAATTACACATTAAGAAACCTACAGGGCTTTGGAAACTCAAGGGTATATTTCTCAAGAATGCCTAGAAAAGTTGAGACTTTTCAGGAAAGACTTTGGAGGAAATGGTGATCACCTTCCGTGACCATCTGCAGAGCTCTGGAGGGAATTGTGAGCAGATGCACTCTTGAGTTCCAGAGGGCTTCTCACGACTCATGGTGGGAAGTCTTGAGGCAGAATGCATTGTAAGAAAAGCCATTTAGCAACTGGATGTTCACTCAGGAGATAACACCCCTGTGAAGAGGAGGAGGGAGGGAGCTGGTGGTGGGGAGCAGAAGCAGCAGGTGCAGCAGCTGTAAGTGCACATCATATGGCCTGTAACTCAGAAGAGAAGAAATAGACAAAGCCAGGAAGGACAGCAGGCCAATGCGGCCTTTGCTGCTAGAGGTAAAGTGTGTGCATATTGTTCCGGATATCTGAGTCCTAAGCATGCTTATTGAGCACAAGGGGAAACAAGACAAAAGAAGAATTTAAAGAGATGGATAACATCAGAGTTCCTTAAGAGTAGTAGAAAAAAGTAGCTTAGGGGTAGGAGAAAGAAAAGGCAGGTGTCAAGATGCAATAGTTCAACAAAATCGTCAAAGGACAGAAAATACAAGAGATCATAGCAAATAGCAGACTGGAAAGTGGATGTGAGAATCCTCAAAAAATTTCATTTTGAGAGAAGCCTGCATCAAGGAATTATGTGTTGAAAGTCACTGCTTAAATATATTTAATTTAGTTTAAAAGTTTCATGGAGATATGATGTTATCTGAATGCCAACATGGAAGAATGTTATTTTGGAGGAGGCAGTAGTTAACACATAGGGTTTAAAGAACACAGTATATTCTGGCTGCCTGTCTTTGTTCAAAGTATTTAACTAGCCCACGCTTATTTCCTCATCTGCAAAATGGGTCCTTGTAAGAATGAAATAAAATAGCATATGCAAAATGATGAGTAACCACCAGTGACAGATGATAATGGTTTTTACTATTACTTTTTACTAGACCATAAGCTCCATCAGTGCAGCGTGTGGCAGGCAGGGAGAGACAATTAGAATACAGAATCTTTCAGTATGCCCATTCCTGCCCATACTCACCACTGACTTTCTCTGGGATCCCATGTCATTATTCAGTGTTCAAACTTACTGTGAATGATAGAATGAATGAAGGAAAGAAACAGAATGGAGTAAAGGAGGGATTCTTACTTAGCTTACTATATGCACAGGCAACAAGTACCCTATTGAGAAAATCCACGGCAGATACAATGTGGAGGCAGATGAAGAAAAACGGATTCCATTAGTATGTCTTAGACTTCATTGATTGAGGTCTTAGCTGAAAGCATTCACTCTTAAACATTTCAAACCTCTCTCAGCTCATCTGTAATGTAAACTTTGCTTTTCTCTGGTGGAGATGTGCAGAATGCAGGGCTGGGCTGTAAACAATGAGTCATGCGGACCACAAGCTAAAGAGTATCCAAAGTGAGCAATGACCACCCTGCCCCAGCTACTTTCATTCTGTTCCTCACTCAATCCATTTACCTCTTTAACATTTTTCCTTCTAATACACCCTCTTCTGCAGTCACCTTGGGTTTCAGAAAAGGGCAGGTCTGATTGACAGAGATCTTTATGACAAGACACCACACTACTTCAAGCTAGGGTGAACTTCATGGAACAGACCACCCCATGTAAGAGTGTCTAGGGCTGTCCTTCCTTTATCTCACCAAATTTCTCCCTCACAGAACCAGTCCTGAGAGACCATCAACCAGACCATAGACTTGACCAAGATTACTTAAGCTGCCAGCTATGAAACCCCTCCGCTGTGCAAATCTTCAAGCTTTGTCTTTGCTCCCTTTTCTTGAAAACCTCGAAGTTCCTGCCAGCGCCTTGAAAACAGATCCTGAAACTCTTTATCTATCCTTTCCTGTCTGACCTACTGATTAAAGTTCTTTGTGTGCTCTTCACCACAGCTCATCTCTTTGCCTGGCATTTTGAGACAAGTGGCCTGTTGGGACCGCTGGAGCAAAAGCTTTTTCCCTAAGATAGTTTCCAGAATATGTGACATGAGGAAGAAGCATGATGAAGGATTTCCACTTGAGATCAGCAAAATGGGTTCAATGACATCCCCCAAAAATCTGAACTTTTGCTTTTAGTTTTCCCATTCTTCATTCTTCCATCCCACTCTAACATTCATCACATTGGGCTGAAAACCAGGGACTATTTTTCTTTTTCCTAATCAAACCAGGAGGGTTGTATGTGTAATAGTGTGTGTGTGTGTGTGTGTGTGTGTGTGTGTGTGTGTGTGTAGCATGCACATGTGCATGCCATCCCCAGGCATGTGTGAGATGGAGAATCTGGATGTTTGGCCCTCTGTGTGAAGCATGTAGCTAGCACAGCAGCCTGCAGAAGCAAAGAGCCTTTCTCCACTGGCGAAGTGCAGCTGAGAAATGTTTGCCATGAAAGATGCTCCTGGTTGGCAGAGATCTCACAACTGCCAGCAGCTTAGCTGGTTGGTCTCTGGTAACCTACTCTCCAGAACAAGGCTCACACGCAGGGTGACACACAAAAAAAACACAAAAATGTAGATGCACTGACTTTGCTGATGAAACAAAATCAAGGCCCATATTCTAAGCATGAAGCAGAGGGGCAGAGCACATTCTCTCAGAAGGGCCCACTGAAGGTCAAGCCCCCAGGGTGCTGTGCAGCCTTTAGCAGTGTTGGCTGCGATGGAGCTGAGCAGGCTGTCTCTGCATGATGTTTCCAAGGAGACTAGCTCTTGGCACCTTCCCTGTGGCTGTGCTCACTTGGTCCAAGTCAGTGGAGACAGAAAACATTCAATCAATCATGTTTGTTATGACTTTTCAGAGAATCTTGAGCCTTTCCGTTCTGATAGATGAGAATGACTAAATAAAGGTCTGGAAACTTATCATCTGAACTGAATGTGTCTGGCAGGTCCCAGTGGCCACTCCTGCTGTGACTGGTCCTTTCCTGACCAGCTGAACTCTTCCTCCTCTTCTTTGCAAAGGACCTACACCGTCCCCTGTAAACTCCAATGGCTAGACCTCCAGTCTCAGGTGGGGCAGCCAGTAAAAAATGAAGTCAATCTGAGAAGCTATCCACATTGTGAAAGCAAACAAGAAAATGTATGTGAGAAGCAAGGATAAGAAAAGTATAATGCAGACAGAAATGACATTAAGGTCATGCTGTATCCTGCAATATCTGGTAATACAAATTTAGCTTCGGCTTTCCGGCAGCCTGTGTAGGAAGCACACTTCGATAGTTTCTTGTGTCCTTCAGATGAAAACAAAGTAACTGCTTGGAAGGATGGTAGTTATTTCTACAAAAGATACCAGAGAGATACCATCTCTAAAATTCTGGTAAAGAAGACATTGTGCAATACAGTAGAAACATCCTTAACAGATGCATGGAATGGTTACATGGTGAGTACAAACCCAAGGTTTCTAGCTGATTAAGTATTTCCCACGTGGCATGACAGATCAAAGTGCAACGAAGCCAATGCACTGTGGGGGTGCTCATACAAACCAGCTTAGATACGCGGTTCTCCAGAGGTCTGGTGTCATTAGGGGCAGACTTTAGAAACTCTTGGAGACTGGAAAAACTTAATGCCTCCCAGAAACCCTTGAAACAAGGAATTTTTGCTGTAGAGTGAATGCTTCCCCTCAAATTCATGTGTTGAACCGTAGTGCCTTCTCCAAGGTGATGGTATTGGAGGCAGGATTTTGGGGAGATGATTTGGTCATGAAGGTGGAGTCCTTACGAATGGGATTAGTGTTGTATAGAAAGAAACACAAGATAGCTTGCTTTCTTTTTCT